AAGCAGAATTTGTCTGGCATGTTGGTATGTCAAATCCCACAAGGCTGGATTATGTCTTTCCTTCCTTTATCCCAAATTGTGAACAGGCCCAGTGACACCAGACCAGCTTGTGTCCTGAGCTAGCTCACACCTGGAGCTCTCTCACCATTCTGTTCCTGGGTTTACCAAGCACTGAAGCCCAGCATCTTCCCAGAAGCAGGGATCTGAAGTTCAGGAATTAATTTGTGTGCAGACATCTCCATCCCCTTGGTCAGCTCAGACAAAAAGAGGTTCAGGCCCAAGGAAACTCAGGCCCCACATGGATTTAAGCTTGGAAATTGCAGAGGAAAGCAGCTCTGAAATATTTGTGTGCAGACTGACAGCTTGTATCCCAGGCTCTGGGACAGAAATCACCAGCAGAGCTCCCAGAGCTCAGAGTGAAAATTCCGTTCTGCATGCACAGAGACCAGGCACTTCTCATCTGACACAGGGAAGATCTGATGATTTTTCTCAGGTTGTTGTTGTTGTTGTTTTGTTTTGTTTTGTTTTGTTTTTTGTTTGGTTTGGTGTGGTTTGTTTTTTTGGTGTTTTTTTGGGTTTTTTTTTTTGTGTGTTTGGTTTGTTTGTGGGTTTTTGTTTTGGGTTTTGATGTTTGGTTTTTTTTAAGGCCATATTTCAATCATACTCAGTCATTTTCCCTCCAGTTAAAACCCAACTGTTAATTGTAGGTGTTTCATCTTGGTGAGGTTGTGAAGCTGGAGCCAGCTTCAGTGGAAATCCCACACAGCACACAAAGACTCTGCTGCAGTCTGTCATTTATCGCCTGAATGGAAAGAGTAACAGCCCAACACAAATATTTGGACTTCTCTTTGTTCCTGGCAGGGCTCTTGAAGCACACACACACGAGCAGATTGTGCTTGGTTTTGTGAGGATGGGTGAAGCAAAAGAGAGACAGAGCTGGGTATGAGCCAAATCAGCACACACGAGAGGCAGAGGCTGCTCCAGGGCTGTGCCCAGGTGTGCAGGGCTGGAGCAGCAGCACAGGGAGTTTTATCACAGCAGGATGAGTGAATTCCTGGAGCCTTATCAGGGTGTACATCAAGGATGGTTGTTGATTATGAAGAACAGCACAGGGCAGAATCTCCCACGGGTAAATCCTCTGTCTGTGGGGCTGTGAGCAGAACTGAATCAAACACCAAAAGATATAGATCTATTGCTCCAGATCTGAGCAAAAATCCAGACCTGGACCTTCTTCAAAACTGCTCCAGCCTTGTTACATCCCACTTGACCAGAGCAAACCTTTAACCAGATAAACAGCACATTCAAAAGAACAGCATTTTCATGTCCTTATTTCAGAGCAAGGGCAAGACCACTGGAAAGCTCAGCAATTCTGGCTGCACAACCACACAGGTATGATGTCCTACCACTCTCACATCTGCTGCAAGTCCAAATCCACAGCTGTGGTAGGGCCAGCTTGTCTCTGGAAGCAGTTACAGAGTGCTCACCTCGTGTTTGGTGCTCTGGAAACTCGTGCAAGCTGTTGCCCCACCCTCAGAAAGCACAGGAGCAGGAGATCAGAGCCACAGGAGCAGGAGATCAGAGCCACAGGAGCAGGAGATCAGAGCCCTCCACCGCCCGCAGAGCAGGAGGCCACGAGCAGACCTGGTTTCACTGATAACAATAGCACAATTTACACAGCCCCTGGAAAAACAAACGGTCTGTTGGTTGATATGCCTGATTCCTTGGCTGATGGCCCAAAGAGGGAAGCTTGGGAGCACTGAGGAAAGGATTCAGAAGACAGGCCTTGAGTCAAACATTCACCACAGAAGTTTGTGAGCAGGGACCTGTACTTGCCCCAGGATGAGCTGAGTTGCTCCTGGGAAGGCACTGCCTCCCCAGCTGGCTGCTGCTCCATTTTCCCTCCTGCTGCTGGATTTCACCAGCAGTCACAAGGGGCTGCTTGTCTCCAGTTTGGAATATGAGTCCCTAGTGACATAACTTGTAATCCATATAAAAGGCAATATTAGAATGGACTTCTGATATTTCTCCTACTGTTCACCCTGCCCTAATCCAGCATGGTTTGCCAAATACTAAACAATAATAACTACTGCATTTAGGCCTTTCTTCTGACATTAAAAAGAATTTAATCTGCTCTGCAATCGTGGCTCCAAGAAGTAAGAAGTGAAGGAAAGTCCAATAGCAACACTCTCTTTGCTGCTCTGTGCATAGCAATGGGCTCAACCAGGCACAGCAGCTACACAAACTGTTCTGCTGCAGTGCTGGGAACACCCAAAATATCTGACTTCAGAAGTTCAGTGCTATGTTGGGTATTCCTGATGCATGTTAGAATTATTCCTTAACATTTACCACAGCTCTTCACATCCCTCTGTGCCAGCATGCTTCAGAGCTGGGTTCAGGTAAGGTGGCTGCAGGCGGAGAACAATGCAGCACTTTCTCTCTGCAATCTTCCACTCGGGTACAGCCCTGGAGCTCCCCTGGGCACACCTGCCTGGCCCAGCCCAAACAAACCTGAGATAGTGAGGGCAGGAGCACACTCAGCTCTGCCTGGCAGTGCAGCCTGCTGGCAGCTCTTTGCTTCTTCACCCTCAGAGACACAGACAGGAAAGTGGGGAGCAGAGTGGAAGTAAAACTCAACACTTGTTTTGCAAGGCTCAGGACAGCATGAGAGCCCTTCCTATGTTTTGGGAGCAGAGCAGCAGGGATGCTGCTTCAGAGCTGGTAAAGCAGCCCCTGCAGGTGTTGGTCAAGCTCGTTTCTCTTGGCAGCCTCGTGCAGGGACCAAAGGAAACAGGAATTGCTGAAGGATCAGCAATCTCTTGGCAGCACTTCCCAAGTCAGCCTGTACCAGTCTTCAGACACCCATGGAAGGAGATGTATTACCCAAATGGCTTTGCCCAGGATCTGCAGAGGTGCCAGCTCACCCAACTGCAGCCACCTCCTCCTGCCCATGCCAAAGGCTCCGGTAGGAGAGGGCAAAGCACAAAGATCTGCACCAGCTCCCAGCAGGGTGGACAGCAGCAAATAAACAGACAGATGGCCTTTGGCAGCATGGTAAAAAGCATTTCAGTTTCCTAAGGAGAAACAGCTCCTGCTGTGGGCGCTGGAGCAGCACTGGGACCATCCCCCTCTGCACCAAGCACTGACACCAGCTCTGCTGCGCATCTCAGCGGGGCACTGACAGATGAGCTGCTGTGACAGAGCCCAAGTTGTTCCATCACGTCACTGCTACCTTGTGTGACCCAGGGGGTAGCAATAACAGCCAGGCTCCACTACATCATCCTGCCAGAATGAAACTATTTAGAGACAGGTTCCAAGGGCAGCCATGAGCTTGCTTCCCTGGCAGGCTCACTGGGCCAAGAGCTTTGAGAGGCAGGGCCCATCTGTACCCCTGAAGGAGGTGAAGGCCAGTAGGGACATGACTTCCTTCATTCCTATAAATGCAGGAGGTGCCAAATGTTTGGAATGTGCTTTGTAGAGCAGGATTAGCGTGGGTCCTGCAAAGCTCTACTCGCCCGAGCACGGATTTTGCTTAGAGGGTTTCCAATCTCACTTGTTTATCCTGGTTGTGCATGATAATGAAGGTGTTCCAGAGTCAAGAGAGAGATGGAGGAAGTGCATTCCTGATGAGCTGCTCCCTCTCTTCCAGTAGAGGACTCAACAGCCTACACAAGGCATTCTTTTTTGTGAGGGCTGGGGCTAAGCTTAGGCTTGAGAGAGCCTAAGAGCCTACAGCTCCAGGAGCAGTGGCAGTGGGAAAGCCATGCCAAGGCCATCCCAGCAGGGCCCCAGCATTGCTGCTCCTACATCTTTGTGATCTGAACCAGCAGCACTGGTGATGGGCTTAGTCTGAGCTCAGTCTCTGGGCTGAGGTGAGACTGCTGTGAGTGTTTGCTTGAGCAATCCAGAGAACATGGAGCTGGGAATTCCAGGCCATGATTGAACCAATGCCTTAGGTCTGTTTAGTTTGTGCCTGTGAGAACTGGGATTTGGGCTGGAAAGGTGTTGTTGGGAACAAAGGACAGAGTAAATTTCCTCTCTGTGCAGTGAAGGACTGAGGAGAGGGAATATTTATAAACTATATCAATATTTCACCCAAACTGGGGGGGGAGCAGTGATGTCCATGTTGTCCTACAGAACTGCTTCAGTTATGGATTAGAGAGAGAGAGAAGGGAAACTACGTTTTATTTTCGTGCCATTTTTCCCAGACAGAAGTGGGACATCATCTTGCCCCTCCCCAGAGCTCTCCAGGCACATGGGAGTAGCTCAGTGCTGGCCCAGTTCCCTGAGAGATAAAAACATTTGAGAGGTTTAAGTGCTACTAACAACTCTATTGTCTCTTAACTGCAAAGATTCAGTCCTACAGACCCAGACTGATGGGACAAAAAGGGAGTTTTTCCATATGGGTTTGTCCAAAGAAACACTTTCAGCTCCCTTGCTTTCGGAGCCCAGCTCCAGCCTGCAGTTTCTTGTTCCTGTGCATGTTGATGGTTTGCAGTTTCTGAGCACGAATTTCGCTTGCAAGCGCTGCCCAGGAGCTCATTTGTGCTTTGCAGTAGCGCTGTGAGTCACCAGGTGCCACCAGCGAGGCATCTCAGGCACTGCTCATGTGCCCGCCGCTCGGATTCCACCCACAAAATTCAATATACCCGAGGATTGCTCCCAGACAAAAGCTGCCAGGACAGAGAGGACTTGGGGCTTCACCTCCCCAGGACAGCCTGTCACCGGAGACACTGGGGCTGCCTGCTTTCCTTCCTATGGAAAGGAGCTGGCATTGCTGCCATTCTCTGCCTGGATCCCATTGCTGGAATTTCAATTCCACCTCCAAAACTGCATATATCCAAGGACCGCTCCCACACGAGAGACGTGGTGCTGGGGAACAGGCAGAAGTGCTCTGAAATGGAGGGGAACCCTTTGATTTAAGCCCTTAAAATGATGAAAAGGGGTGAGTTTTCTTCAATTTAACCTCTTAAAATGAGGGGAAAGGAGGGGTCTACCTTCATTTAAATCAGCCCTCATGCTGTCACATCCAGTGCAGTAAGCATGCTTCCTCAATATCTCATTATCTTCTGAACTAAACTGTACTGTCAGCACGTATTCTTTATCATTCTCCTAAGTGATAACAGGTTTTAGCTCCTGCAGCAAAATTAAAGCATAGAACTTTTGCCAATGACCCCATGGCCTTGAGCTTTGAAGCAGAAATGCTCGTAAAACAATAAACACCTACCCCCCTTTCAGAAAAACTTGACTATTAATGTGAAGGAGTTGCAGCGACTATCTCCCCTTCAATCTTTTCCTGGATTGGAGATGACCTCTGAAATGGAGCATTTCATTCAATTTGTTTTGCTTCAGTAATTTACAACAAACCTTTGAACAGTGAGAATCTTGTTTATTTCTGGACACCCGTTTCCATTGAAGGCTTTTCCCAGACTAGCACAGGGACTACCACAATCAGCCGTCCAGAATCATCTGGACAAAATATGAAATTCATTGGCTTGGATGTTTCTTTCTTCATTCTTTCCACCCTCATTGCTCTTTGGAATGCAGGTAAGTGATTTTCAAACATTTTGCTGCTTTTAACTGCAAACTTTTTTGACTTCTCTACTTCAGAATAAGAAATTCTACTTCAGGTAAGAAATTGTTGATACCAAAGACACACAGGCCAGCTTTTACCTGCATGGTTTCATTTTCAGTCTCTTCCTCTGTAATTTCCAGCAGGCCAGTGGATCTCTTCTGTAAGTAAACAGACAATCTGGAGAATGGAGCAAATATATTTCAAGACAGAGAAAAATTTTCTAGCTTCCCATAATGAACAAGTGCTTTTACTTCCCTTCTTTGCATTTTCCTGTGCTTGTTCTTCACCACCTACCTTGATCCCTGCATTTCTTTTTGCTTGTGTCCTCCCAAATAATCAATCCTCCAACTTTTCATAATTGGTTCCAATTTTGCAAGGTCCATGTCCAAGTTTAGAATTTCTGATGCTTACCTAGATCATCTCAGCACTGCATGGTATTCTTGATATAGTTCCCAAGCAGTGTTGTCCTTGCAAGATTCCACTTCCCAAAAGGTCCTCAGTGCTCCCAGCTGTCTCTGCAGCTTGTTCATCCCCCCTTAAATGTCTGCTATTTTTGACAATGTTACTGTAATGTCTTGTCTTCTTCTCACTGTTTTATTTGTTGAGTAGTTTCCCATGTGGTGTCCAGTAATTACTGACAGTCTGTAAGCCAAGAGCCTGCTCACCTGTCTGTGTACCTGCCTTGTTAAGGCCAGACTCAAGTGAAATGCACAAAACAAAAACTTTTAAGTAGCTCTTAATAAACTTGTGTTGGAGTCCATTTCATTGCTGATGTTAACTTTCCCCTGTTCTGATATGTTTAAGACTTATTCTCAAAAATAGATGTAATTAGTGGCACTCACTGAGGGGCTGCTCTGGAGATTTATCTGTCTTATCTGTCTATTACATGTAAAAATACCCATGGAATTAATGAAATTATATACTGTCTGGGAGGTAAATAAATGTATTTTGCTATTCAAAATGGAGCAACCTTAATATGCAGTTGATTACAACCTTCACCTAAATACACTCCTAAACTAACATAACCAGGCTATTTTATTTACTTACAGCAGTCCTTTGGGTGATGTACTTGTGCTTCAGAGAACATCTAGAAGAGTTCAATAACATTCCTGACTGGCTTTTTTTTCTTCCTTTAACAAGGAGCTCAAGACTCTTGTGCACAGCGATGTGGGGAGCTGCTTGGTACCTGTTCTTGCCAGGTGACATGCCAGTCCTTGGGGACATGCTGTCCTGATTATAAGGAATTCTGTCTTCAAATTTCTCCATACTCAGGATCTCTTATGGGAGGCAAAGACTTTTTGATTAACAACACAGCTTTTGATCCCTCTTCTGTGCTAAAATGCAGGTGGGCCATGATTTTATATTCCTCTGCCAAAGGGAGGCAAAACTTTATAATCTCACTCTCCAACAATAGGCAATTACCACAAAACAAGACCAGTCTATACAGGAGTGAAAACTTCGTAAAGTTGTTAGAATCCTGAAAAGTACAAAAGTTCTGCTCACTCTCACCCTCAAGGGTACCTGTTGACTGTATTTCTACACAGGATTGGTTTTTTTAGGTTGAGTTATTGTGTGGTACAATCATGACTCTGCTCATTCTTCCCTTAACATATTAAAACAGTGACTTTTTGAAAAGAGTTTCCTTTCAGGGCACTTGACTGTCAATATTTCTTTAGTGTTTCCCTTTGTGGGAAAGAAGTATTTATTTCTTAATCTGAATGAGAAAACAGCAAGACAGAAATGTAGGTAGGACAGCTGATGTTTTTCCTGTAAGAGAAAGCTGTGCATCCCAAATGTGTCAGCCTATATCACACTTAGGTGCACGTGGCACATGCAATACATACAGTACACTGAATTTTGATGACCCGGATGTTGTGCTATTATTTCCACAGAAGGTTCTGAGTGAGAATTTGGAGTCCTTCCCATCTGGGTAGCAGTACCTGAACAGGTTTTCTATTCTTTATTTGGAAAACCTTTGACCAAAGGCATTCATTCTGTAGAACACAAGTGTGTGCCTGCAGAGTTACATAATTATAGCCAAGGCAAATTCCAGTGCAGAAAAGCAAAGGTACTATTTCCTGGCAGGCCCCAGCTCCCTCTGATACGTGGAGTAGATATTCAGTCCCAATATATCAGGCTTGAAGAATCACAGGTGGGGTTATCCCCTAGGACTCTGGGCAAGAGCCCTAACTAGAAGCAAATGGTTAAATAACAAGCAGTGCCTTCTGAGTTAACCTTTGCAACAGAAAATCTAGAAGAGCATGAAATTACTTTTAAGTGCCCTCACAGGACTTACCAGGGGAAAAAAAAAAACAAACCAGAAATTTGCAATTACTGCATCATGGTTGCTGTTAGCCACCCTGTAATCCTACTAATGCTATAATGTTATTTTCCTCTTCCTGTTGCCCCTTTGTTGCTAATTTATCATGTCTCACTCCCCCAGTGAGTTAAATTAAACAGTAAGTTGAAGGTTTGTGGATTGCTGTATATTTGTGCAGTTCACAGCAGAATTCACATTGATGTAATGAGCAGATTTTCCCAGTTTATATTCCCTGCTACAAGCAAAACAGCCCCAGACTTGAAATGATCCACACATGACAAAAGGTTGCTTGTTGAAGCACATTCAGAATTTTCCTTCTATCTGTGCTGACACTGAAAAGTGTTTTCAACATCTACAGGTTCAAGAAGCAAATCAGAACCAGTGGCTATATTGACAAGGATGGAAAAGCCCACTGCATCTCCCCATTGCTTTATGAGACTGGTTTCATCCCTTTTGAAATTTCTACAGATGCTGGGGCAACGTTTCCCTACTCTGGAACTTGGTTATCAGGTTACTTATATCTACAGCATCCCTCTCCCTCTTCTTCCTATATTCTTCCTCCATGCATGCAAGATTACAGAAGTCTTTTCCTTTTGATCAGTTTTTTTTTTCCTTAACAGGCCTCAGAAAAGGAAGTCTCACTAGCCTCATGTTAATTCATCTTTTGAGAGATGAACTTGCACAGCAATTGAGTAGCAGCAGCAGCATTAACTGATAAAAAGTCCTGCTTAAAAATGAGGTTGACCAAAACAGCTCCCACTTCATCCCTACTTCTATCCCTTTTTGTTCCCTCTTCAAATAATTGCATTGTGGTGTTGCATTCTAAGGACTGCAAGTATTAGTAAGCATTGCATTCTCTCAGCTTCAGCCTATTCTTTTCATGCCATGCATCCCATGCTGTGTAAAACATACCCAGGAGAAATCCTGCTAAATTTTAAATGATAGAGTAGCACTTTCTCAGGACTCTGCAAAGCCAAAATGTCATTAGCCCTCTTTTTCTGCTCTGCAATGCAGTACATCACAGCAAAGTTTCAGATGAAGAAAAATGCACATTGGTAAATGAGACAAAATGGCAATACTATGGCACCTCCAACACTGGTGGAAACTTAACTCTTACCTGGACACACCAGACACTTGCAGCAACCCACGTCAACATAGAAGTCTGGGGATACCAGGAAACAGGTAAAGTGACCCTTTTCCTGCAAGCATTTATCACACACATAACTTCTGTTCAGAGCTCTGCACAGCTTGTGACCACTTTCACTGACACCTGCAAGTATAAATAACTGATGACAGTAATGTCAGCTTTTCCTTTTGATTTACATATGGGTGGAGACATCTAATTTCAATCTTGTGGCCATTGCTCTTTTCCAGCATCCAAAACCCTTTTCTTCCTCTATCTGACAGGTGACAGTTATTCAGAAAACTGGAGGGGTGAATGGAAATACCTTTATACTTTGGCAAGAGAAACCCCCAATACAGGGAAATATTCTTTCATTCCTGTACCTGCTGAAGGAAATTACAGTACTTGGGACTATGGAATTTTGAGAATTATACCCAGCAACTATTTTGATGGGCAGAGGCAAGTGCATCACAACAACAACAACATAATAACAATAATAACAATAACAATAATAATAATGATGATAATAATAGCTACCTTATAAGCTGTTGTCTCCTTTGGCATTCCAAAACTGAGACTCAGGCTCCATTTAATGGGAAAAAATGGGGAGAAAACTGGAAGGTCAAAAGTGAGAAAGACTCATGGGTCAACATAAAGACAGTTTACTAAGTAAAGAGGAGCATGGAGGAAGAATCATAAAGTCTACCTCGAGCAGACTGATGCACAGTCAGTCACAGTAAGGGCTGTTTTAGAAAAACACTCCTGCAGTTTTATTGATGGACATGCTGGTCGAGGGCATGGAATATCCCTTTGGTCAGTTTGGGTTGGCTGTCACAGCTGTGCTCCCTCCTGGCCTTCTCCCTGGGGCCAGCATGAGACACAGAGAAGACCTTGACACCATGCCAGCAGGAGATAAAACACTGGTGTGTTATCAGCACTGTCTTGGTCACAAATCTAAAACGTGTCTGCTGTGAAGAAAATTACTCCAGCCAAGCCCATGCTGTCATCTGCTGATTTTTTTGTTTTGTCACAACTGTGGAGGAGTCCCTAATTGTAGAACTTCAGTCACTGCAGCCACAGGCCTTCCTCTTCTATTTTGTGTGCAGGTTTTTTGCATTCCTTCAAATTTTATGCCCATTTTCTTTTATTTCATTGCATATTTCCCCATGATTTTTGGTGAACTACCTGTGTAAGTGCTCCATGGATATTCCTTCATAATTCTTCCATATCTGCAGGTTTGATGTAGATAGTGTAGACTCTGTGAGCATATTAATGCCAACTCTTCAGTGTTACAACATATTGCTAAAATGTCAGAATCTCTTTGAGCATTTAGGAGTTGCTACCCAGACAATGATAACCTTTTCTCCTTCTAGAGGGTTTTTTATTATACTTTGTTAAGATTTTTTTTTCATGGGGAAAAGCAGAGTGCTTTGGAACATTTCAAGGATTCTGAATGGTTTCTGTAGCCATTAGTCCTGATATTGCTGGGGTGCAGGTGTTATGTTTTGTTAAAGAATCCAGATATTCTTCATTCTGGCCTAATGAAATTGCAATGTCAAAAGGCATGAATGCAAAACCTTCCTCTAAAAGGATCCATGTAAGTCAGAATCATGATTCTAAAATAGATTCTGATTACTGCATACTTGCTGCATGCTGTCCTGTCACCTCCTGAGTTTGGAAAATTTTGATTTGCCATAACTTTTTGAAGGAAAAAGAAAGCAGTGGGCTTTGCAATGAAATAACTTAAAAGTCAAAAGATGCTTTTTAATTATAATTAGCAATTGAGCCACAGTGCTACTGTCAAAATAGTGCTTGTTCAATCAGATCTATTTTTTGTTTCTCTTCCCCCCCACCCCCAGCAACATTCCATCAATCTGGAGCTCAGACCATGCATTGGCTTGGCACCTTGAGAAAGCCTTCAGAAATGACCCAAAAGCATGGGCAACTGCAAAATGTATGGAATGGGACAGAAAGGAAGAGTTGCTTCCAAACTTCCTGGAAGAGATTATAGACTGCCCTTGCACCTTGGCACAGGCAAGAGCTGACACTGGCAGGTTCCACGTAAGTTATTACTTGATCCCTCTGGCTTATTTCAATTCCAGGTGGAAGCTTAAGGAGTGCCAAACTCCACACACACCCCTGTTCCCTCTCTAAACATCATTACAAAGAAATTAAGTTACATTTAAATTTGCCCAAGTAGCATATCAAATGGCAGAGGTAAATACAGCTTGTCTAGGTAGTATGAATAAAAGTGCCTATAGAATAGGAGATGGAAATGACATTCAAACAGGGAATTAAAACAGTAGTTCCAATAGCAGACTGTAAACACTCTGTGGAGCTGGGAGCAGGGATGGCTTCTTTGAGATCCTACAAAATCACAGTCTGTGTTTGAAGATGATATTCCATGCTGTGACAAACTATTTCTGCCTAGTTCATCACACTTTGCTGCAAACCCTTCTGCCTTATACTTCAGAGCTCAAGCCCAGAGCTGTAATCCATTATTTCCTTTATCCTGCTTCCTTCCTCCTTCTCAGCTTCACTGTTATCAAGGAACTGACAAAAGCCAAGAAATCAATTGCCATTCAGTCTACACTTTCACTTACTCTGCTGATCTGAGGACCAGATGAGAGTGACTTTGTCTCCTATTTATGGGACCAAATGGTGGCATGTGTTTATGCATTAAAAAAAAAAAAAAAGGTTTAGGTAAACATTGTTACTATTCTAGTTATGAAACTCCAAACATGATGTATAAAACCTTGTGAAGATAAAGAATAGATCTACTGCCTCTGTCTAAGAACACAGAATAAACATTTACTCTGTTGTGTCTGTGTTTGTTGTACACTTACACTTGAATCCCATCTGGCTGCATTTGTTCTTCAAGGTCTGTTGTAACAGACTACAAAATGTTCAGGTCAGACATGTTGCTCCAGACACTTGAGTATTAAATTCACTATTTTTCCTATCATTCCACGCTATTCAACACAACCTTAAGCAGTTCATGTCAACTTAACACACATGCCAGATACAAAGGGTGGGAACAGAATGTAAGAACAGAAAGGACAATGAGGAAAGAACCCCATTAAGTGTGAACATTGATCTTTTTCAGACAGATTATGGCTGTGATATTGAAAAGGGGAGCGTGTGTACTTATCATCCTGGTGCTGTGCATTGTGTAAGAGCTATTCAAGCCAGGTAAAGTACATTTTTAAACTGCATTTTTTTGATTAATCCTTTTACCCCAGAGACAGCAGCATCACAGAATCAGGGCTGAAGTCTAACTGTACATCAGATAGAGTTTGGCAAACGAAATATTCAGCTGTATCCGTAAAAAGTCAGTAAGCAGCCCCTAAATAGAAACGGACCCCACAGAGCTAAATGATGGTTTTCTTGCTGCTTTTCTCAATCAGTCCCCAGTATGGGGCTGGCCAGCAGTGCTGCTATGACTCCACGGGAACCCAAATCCTCACGCGCGACTCCACCGGAGGCAGCACACCTGATCGAGGACATGACTGGGGGTCAGCACCTTTCTTGAAGCCTCCTCGGATACCTGGCTTTTCCCACTGGCTTTATGATGTTATCAGCTTCTATTACTGCTGCCTGTGGTCTGAGAATTGTGACTTCTATATGAAAAGGCGGCCCTCTAGTGACTGCAGGACGTACCGCCCTCCCCGAGCTGGTAAGGGCTCCAGACTTTCCTTATGGGGTGTAGATTTTTCATACAGTCTTGGCTTTTAGAATATTTCTATATGTGTATATATGAGTTGACAATGATGAGGGTACAATGTCCTGTGGAAAAATTCTATGGAAGGTTTCTATTGATCTATCACTTACAAAATCTGTATATGTTTTTTAATTGTGCTGCAAGATTTTCTGCGGTTGAGCATCTCGCTCACCCCTGGAACCTAAATAGTCAAAGCATAGTAGTCAATGTCCACGGCTTTATATCATCAGTGTGGACTTCTTGAGAAAAAAAGGTGGCTAGAGATGGTTAGTGACAGGTAGAAAGTAGCTAGAAAAGCTATTATGATGAGAAATATTCATATCAAATAAGAAAGTTTTACAATTTACAATGCGTCTGGTTTTCTCTCACTTGCTTTTAACTCAGTCATCAAATCTTGCCATACCTCTGTTGCTACCACATTTTGCCTTCTATGAGGTGTCCAGCAGGACTTGGCCTCCCACAAAGAAGTGCAAAGAGGCAGTGGTTTGCATCAGGAAAAAAGGAGAAAACTGTAGAGGGCCTTGCATTAGGTAGTTAGGGGTCATGAATGGGTGGTCTGGCTGCTTAAAGAAACCCCATCAAAAGTATTGGCAGAAGCAGAGTTTGAATTTGTGAAAATACAACTTTACAACTTGATGGCAAGGTGCATTGTATTAGTTACTATACAGATTAAAGCATACAAAAGAAGGTAAATTAGAAGCAACTTGGAGCAATTTACATGGAAGTTGGAAATGCAAAAGGGGATAAGGGTGCAAAGGGTATGGATGCAAAGATAAGGCAATAGCCCTGTATTCATGTCCAAATCTCCCCATATATTGCATGTGACACAGACTTCTAGCCTCTTTCCTTTCTCATGAACTTGAGGAGTAACAGGTTATGATTTTTGCTTGTTCTTAATTCTCTTTTTGCTTTTAAAAATAGCATCTGCTTTTGGGGATCCTCATTTCTTTACATTTGATGGTCTGAACTTCACCTTCAATGGCCTAGGAGAATACACATTGGTAGAGTCTGATCTCACATCCCTGAGAGTGCAAGGGAGGACACAGCAGGCACACTTTTCCAATGGTAAGTTGATAAGAGAGGAAGCAGAGCTTCTGAACTTCTGAGATTTGCAGAACTGAGATTTGATATTTGCTTGATTTGTACTTAGCAGCAATCCTCCTGTTATCTCTGTCGTCTCTAGTTTTCTTGTTTGGCCATTTGTGAACAGTCACCATTCTGAAGATAATCAGAAAGCAGACATCTTCAGGAAAAACTTCCCAATCGAAGTTTAATTGCTAGTTTTATTGGGTGTGAGTAATGGAAGTGTAAAGTTTTCCACTGTGTTTAAGAGCTCCAAAAAAATTCTTATTTCTCTCCATGCCCATTCTCATCAATAAGGAAACATAAGGCCAGTTCTTGAAATCAGGCAATAGGCACAGCTGCCAGCTGATGCACTTTGATAGCATTGTTGTTTTTTTTTCATTTGGAAGGAACTGGGGCTCAGGGGACAGGCTTGTCTGCAGTGGCCATGCAGGAGAACAGCTCTGATGTGATTGAAGTGCGCTACTCTGAGGATTTGCACCTGGAGGTCCTCCTGAACCAGAGGGTTCTCAGCTTCTCTGAACAAACCTGGATGGACTTGAAAGGTTAGTTATACATATCAGCCTCTCATTCTGATGGAGCCCATGGACAGTTAAAAGTGTCTCTAGGTGCATGCATTTCAACCCTTTTTTCAGCATCCTTTTGTCAAGTGTTCTAACAGGTGGCTCCAGTGTCCATGGTTTCTATGTCCTCTTTCACCTGTTTGTAGAGCAGTGGTTTTCCTCCTCATCCTGAGGACAGTGAATGGAATTAAATCTGTCCTTTACATTCTGCTTTGAGCTTACTGCATCTAATGCAATGAAGCCTAGCAAATGAAATGAAATATAGTGAAATATAAGTAAAATATATGCTAAAATATAACTCCATTTCATATTTACCTCTTTGGAGCTCTCTCAATAGGTCAGATATTATTCCTCTGTTCTTCTGCCAAAAAGACTGAAAAGACAAAAAGAGAAAAAGTTGACTTTTTGTCCAACAGGGCTGTGATTGTTTGATTACTTTTAATGATAATTTGACAAATACTAATCATACATCACTTCCATTTTAACAGTAATCCCCCTATTCAGCAGAGGAGCATTTCTGTGGCTAGCAATCAGTATTCCTCACATGGCTGAAGAGCAGGTGGAAGGCTACACTGACAAGGAGCTGCAGAAGCAGAGATGCAGGGAGGAAAACAAATGAAAAGGACATTGAGGGGGCCTGGAGAAGAAGCCATACTAGGGCGGTGTTGACAAGACAAGGGAGAAGGAGGGGAAAACTGTGCCCACTGACAGTGGTGCTTCCAGCTCACAGGCACTCTCTGATATGAACATCTCATATCTTTAAGCTTCTGGGCTGGGACAGTGGCAGGAGGCATCTTATATCAACAGCGGACATCTCTTTGCTGCCACTCTCTAGCAGCCATCTAATCACAACTTAGTGAAGGTGTGGCTTCCCTTTAAATGCTTCTCAGAGTGCAGCTCAGAGTGGAGGGGAGGAAAAGCTGTATGAAAAATGGTTAAAACTGATGATTTAAACTGATGCTAAAAATTTTTTCACTGTGGATAATTAGCTATTTTGTCCTCTTCCTCTCGTTATAGGTCTCTTTCTCTATTCTACACCTGATCAGAACATCACAGTGATGTTCTCTTCTGGGTCTGGAGTGCAAATAAGGGGAACTGGAGGATTTCTGACCCTGACAATTCTGCTCCCAGAGGAGTTTACAAATCACACATGGGGTCTCTTTGGAGTAATGAATGGCAATCCAGAGGATGACTACACCTTCAAGAATAAAACCACCATGTCAGTTCATGCAAGTCCCCAGCAGGTGTTTGAATTTGGAGCTAGCTGTAAGTAATTTCTATGGTCTATTATTACATTTTCTTTACATATTTAAGACAGCTTATGATTTAAGGACTAGGAAATGAAGTCTGTGCCAAGCAACTAGTACTGGGGGAAGAGAAGGCAGTAAGATAAATATGCCCTCCTCTACCCATATGGGGAGTGAAAACAGAACCATGATGGAGTGTTCAGCACTTTGTTCCTAGATCTCTTCCAGCTCCAGCCACATTTCTGTAGATAAACACCTGGATTAATAGCAGAAGGTGGTCTAGTTGGCAATGTTACATGTGAATCTTTCTTTCTGTCTCTGTCTCTCAAGGGGCAATTGAAAATGGAACTTCTCTCTTTACTTATGACACGGAGTTCTTACTGAACAGTTTTGTTCATGGGGACAAGCACAATGCCTCCTTTCTGCCCGTGTTCTCCCCCCATGAGGACCCTGCTGATCCCCTGCTAGAAGAGATGGTCTCACACTGTGGCTCTGACCCATTCTGCAGATTTGATGTCCTGACCACAAGAAGCCTTCTAGTGGGAAGTTCCACAAGACTTTCCCATCAGAATCACAAGCTGCTGGTAGAACATCTAGAGCCAGGTGATACAATATTCCACAAAACATCATTACAGAATAACAGGATATTCTGAGTGGGAAGGGACCCACTGGGATCATCAAGTCCAAACCTTAAGTGAACAGCCCATAAGGAGCATCACCACAATTATTTCTACAGGGCATCTATGAGGAGGCTTTGCTTAACTGTAGGTTCAGGCACCTATAAATAATCTGATTGTGGGAAATCATCTTTGTATCAGGAAATCTCTGTACTGATAGAATACTTAGGCAAACTCAAAATAAATTTCTTTCCATTTCTTCCACTGTAACACCACAGCATAGAAAATTTATCTTCATTTTATATACATTAAGCTGTCTTCCTTGGACTTCAAAATAAATTTTAAAAGTAGCAGGAAATACTGTCTTTCAGATAGCCTAAAAATCTTTGTTTTTCCATGAGTTGCCACTAAAATGCTGTTTGAATCATTGTAATGGAGGTTTGCTGGTCTAATTCCTAAATACTCTAACCAAATGTGTCTCTTTTATTAGTGATCTCTTGTGGCTGGCTGGATCATCCAACCAATGGAAGAAAGAATAATACTAACTACCTGCTGGGCTCAACCATCAGTTTCACCTGCAATGAGGGCTATGAACTCACAGGAGGGTCACAGGAAAGAACTTGCCAAGTGTCAGGAGCCTGGTCAGGAGACACACCCCAGTGCAGCCCAGTAACAGGTCTGTTGCCTTTTAAATATCACATATTGTCACTGAAAAATCATTATCAAGGACAAGGCAATCTCAGTACACCATGATGGCCCTTGACAAAAGCAACTTCTCTTACTTGGTAAAACATTGGACATGAGATGTCTAAATTTGTAGAAAAACTATTAACCAAATCTAAATAACAGGTGACTTGCGGTGGTTATGTGCATTCTGGTGGAGGTATTAAAGTTGTTGTTTTATCAGTGGGTACAGGTACCTGAAGGGTGGGTGAAAAGGGGATGGAGCCAGGATTTTTGCAGTAGTGCTCAGGGACAAGACAAGAGGCCATAGGCATGCTCTGAAACACAGAAGCTTCCCTCTGAACAAGAGAAACCCCTTTTTTACTGTGATGATGACTGAGCACTGGCACAGCTTGCCCAGAGAAGTTCCAGAGTCTCCCTCCCTGGAGATATTCAGAAGTTGTCAGGTCATGGTCCTGGGCATCTCACTCTGGGTGGTCCTGCTTGAACAGGGGAGTTGGACAAAATGACCCCCAGAGGTCCCATCCCACCTCCACTCTTCTGTGATTCTGTGATTCAAGAGCAGACACAGCCCACACATATTGAACCCTTTCACTCTTTTTTTTCTAAAAGATTATGTTATCTCAAAACATAATTCTATTATTCTACAGCAGTAAAAGTATTGTGAATGATACAATAGTATTTAGTATAAATAACATAGATTTATTCCCCCTCTTGTGTTACTACTAATAGATTATCAGTTAGCCTGGGATTATTGGATTTAGTAGCAGTTTAGTAGCATAGGCTGTCTCTATGATTTACAGAAAACGGCCCAAAATTTTCTTTTTATTCATTCACCACATAGACTCCAAATGTCCTCAAGATGGCAATATTTCAAAGCACCAGGGTGGTGCGAGGCCAGATGGCATGTTGAAGCACTTTCAATGCTGAGTTAATAGCTCCCAAAAGCACTCATCAAATAATTCATACTAACAGATTCTCCATTCTAAGACCTTCTTCCAAAGAAATGTGGAAAGTGCACTTCACATCAGCAACGAATTCCTGTCATGCTGGCACATTTCATCAGCCTCTGCTGCCTGTACCAATTGCTTGTACATTTGCCATGCAGTGAGTTAGTAAATATTTGAACTTAGTAATATTTGTAAGATGAACTGCAGTGAGTTTGGGCAGCAGAAAAATTCACAAAGGCCAGATCTTAAAAAGGCAATGGCAAAACTTTCTGCCAAGCTGAAAGCTAAGAATATTTTTCCACTGCTGCCATCAACCACATACATACTGGATAAGAGCCAGTCAGTCTCAATAAGCAAAACAGATGCTGACATTTACACTAGCAAAAGGGGGACAGAAAGGCAGCCCTGTGAGATCAGAGGAAAGGAGCTGGAAGATATGCAGTGATTACATTCAGAAGGATGGAGACATGACACAGCTTTGTGAATAAGCAAACAAAACCCACAATGTTTTCCAATGCTTTCCTGGAAGGTGACAAAGAGAAACAAGGTGTGAAAGAATTTTATTGATCTTATTACAACAAAGATCTTCCTTACTATTTGATATTTGGTGTTCTAGTTCATTTGCAATGTGAACCAAAATTGATGGTTTCTATTAGCTGCAGGAAGTTGGGAGTATGGCAATGCTGTCCACAGCAGCAGGATACTGACAACACCAACAACTGAGCAACACAATATAAAATACAAATTTCTCCATTCTTTTTTTCTTACTGCTATGCCCTACTAGTGGCATTTATAGCTAGCCTTGTTTCTCCTTCTTCCATAAGGTGTTCTGCTAGATGTCAGTGTTTGTCTGAGAATGCTATTTTATTGACAGGCCCAGGTCTCTACAGAGAAGAGAGGCAATACAGTTCAAAGTTCCTTTCACTAATATCTAAACTTCTCATTTTTTTATAGCATGGACAGCTAGTGCTTGCTTTCCACTAAATACATTTCTGCCTCTGGTCCAAGACACAGCTGAAATCCAGGGCCAGTTTTCCTTGTCTTACTTCTCTATTTGGCTATTTTCTCTACTCTCCATCCCCCAAACCTTCTCTTCTCCAGAACAGAAGAGGTCCTTGTGTTGTCAAAATCTGTTGTTCCTGATGTCAGTTTTCTTTATTGTTTTTCTCTTTACACAGCAGCATGCTGCTGTTTCACCAATATCCATTTTATCAAGTCCTGTGACAAAGACCTTCTTGAAACCAGAAAAATTAATGACAAAACCTGACAAAATTAATGGACAGCCCCTCCCAATTTCTGAGTGCCTGAATGGGTGACCACTGACCTAGCCACTGTGAACAGCAGTCACTTTTTTACTTTGAAAGTGAACTATCAAACACAAACTTTGTCAAATTATTTCTTTCATGCTGGTCAGGAGCACAGGGCCCAGCCCTCTGTTATTCCAAGCTTACAGGTGTATTTCTTTACAAGGCTGCAGTTTTGTGGCACATCAAATTCAAGCTCTGTCTTGCAAATCATCAAGGTTTTTTTAGTTGCTATATGTCTTTTCAAAAGAGAATATTTAAAATAAAGGCATTGGAACCATGAAAATTGGATGGGAAAAGAGGTGGAAACAAGAAAATGTAATGCCAGTTATTTTACAAAATCCATTTCGGTGTTTAGAAACTTCAAATACAAATTATGTTTTTGGGCCTGCATATTGTTGTTTTTGAGTTTTGCTTCCTTGGACTAAAGTTTCCATGGAAATCCTCTGCTAATAATTATTTTGCTATGCTTCTAATTACAATCCCACTGCAAGTCTTGCCAGTACCACTGCAAGCTCTTCACAGAATATCACAAAGAGGAAGAACAAAGAAGCCATCCAGCAAAAGCAAAAAGTAAAATGAGATGTAATATCCAGCTAAAAATCATAAGATAGTGGCAACATAAGTACATACAGTCTTTCTGAGACAGACATTATGGAGATACTAAGGGCAATCTAGTTTTGTTTGTCTTTTGGGTTACTTTCTCCTTTCTCCCCCTCTCCTCTATTCACTTTTAGATTTCCTTTTCCAGTCTCAGGCTCTGTGTAAATGCTGTTCATTTTGAAAAGCTGTCAGAAATCTCATTAGTCTTCTGTGCTTTTTCTAAACACAAAGATTTCACAACAGAGGCAAATCACTACTGGACTAACTTCTTTAGCCAGTGGTGGGTTCTCATCACTTGGCAGAGACTGGGTGCCTCCCAGTGAAGGATGTGTAAAACAAACATTAAGCCTTGTTCAGAAGTTACTGGATGATGGACCAATGCTTGTGAAACAGTTTATGTATCCCATTTCTTTCCTTAAGCTTCATTATAAACTAAATTACCAGCTGAATAATCTGTTCTAGGATCATAGAAGTGTCTGTTCTGCCACTCTGCCATCACTGTGTGCTAGGCTGTGGGTTGGGCGGGTGTGACAAAGTGATGGAAGGAAGGAAGGCTGACAAAAATGCAGCCCTGATGTATTAAGGCTCAGATACAAAATGTAGGAATTTTTGTTTCTCCCAGACAGTTCACTCCACATGCTGCATATCCTAACTTTTAAAAATATTCTTATGTGTCATGGTAATCTGCCACTGCTTAGAAGAATAAGAAAACAAAATGATAATTTTTATTCAAAATTTGTTTCATATCTGGTTTCTTTCTGTCTTTCAGGTGTCCTTGTTAGGCACTCACAGAATCAAGTTGACACTTCTCGTGTTTTAGTGTGTTCAAACTCTCTGATGCAGTTCAATGTACCCACATCAGAGCAGTCACTTCTCTTTTATGTAGATTATTAAGCAGCAAAGGTAGTTTGAAAATTTAATGCCAAAATAGGGGTAAATATTTAAAGTAGTCAAACCATATGGAATAAGGATTGAAAACCATTTCAGTTGGGATTGACAGTTCCATGTCAATATTGCACATGCAAAATGTTGACTACATATTAACCACTAGCCACCCTTTGTGTTAGAAAGCTTTTGCAACCACCTGCCCTAACAGTCAAATGTAGGAATTCTGTGAGTTCCTAATCTTTACCAGTTTCAGAGAATCTGAAAGGATGAAAGGTTGGAAGGGACCTCTGGACATCATTTAGTCCAATCCCACTGCCAAGGGAGGCAGTTCCTCAAATAAAGAGAACAGAAAAATCAGCACAATTTGTACCATTTCAAAAATTGTCATGTGACTGCATTCAAACAGATATGAAGAAATGTGTATAAAAGCCTTCATGGGTTTTTTGTGGTTGGTCTCTTTTTTTCAGGTATCAAACAAGTAATTGTTATTGGCAGTGTATTTGGAATAGTCGGCCTTGCAGTCCTGGGACGTCTGGGTTATTTATGCAGAAAGGAGAGGTAAGACTTAACTGAACTGAAAACACAAATGAACCTCCTAAAGAAATAGCAACTGTTATGACTTTTTAAATAATAATTTAATAACGACAACTGGCAACAAACTGCCAGTGTGCTACAGGTAAAAAAAAAACGCAACTGATGTGTAAACACTGAACAACTGTATGTGAAACTGACTGGTGGGGAAAGAGGGCAGCATAGTGAATGAAAATGGTTTTGCCTAGGAATACTGGTGGACTGAAATGGAGATATGGTGGATTTTCTGAACTTTGTTAGCAACTGTTACAAAATTTTAACCCTTCTCTGTTCCAGTGTCCACAAGTGATAGAATGCCAGATAAAATGGAATTGAAATTGAGTGAACGGAAACAAAATGGGGTTACGGCCCTTGGAAAGAAGACTGTATGTGTGAGGAAGAACTAAATACTTCTGAACCTGTCACAAAAAACCCCACAGTGCCAAGCTAACAGAACACTGCTATTGTTTTTCAGTATTTCATCACTTAAAAATGCTACATTCACTACGAATTCAGCTCAAAGAAATAAGAATGTGGCATACTATGCTGTGATATTAAAATTTATGTGTAAAGCCATGCTACTATATGAAGACCATTTTTTGCTTTCTATATGTGTTACAAAGGCCAAAAGAAATGTAAGCACATTTCCCTCCTCAAAATCAACCTTACAGCTTCATATGGAAGGAGATTTCTGTATGCTAAAAGTGAGATGCATCCACACTGTGTATTGATACAATAGATAAGGCCTACGAACTGTATTTTGATTGTTCCTCTTCAGAATAGCAAATTGTTCTCTGCCTGTATGGGTTGCTATTTGATTACACAGCAGTGTTGTAAAGGGGGTACAAGGATGTACCTTGTACAAAGGATGTTTGCCCTGTTTCTCTTCCTGACAAAGCAACTTTTTAAATGCTTTTTTAACTGTTAGTGTGGGGTTTTTTTTCATGTTGGTTGCTTCTTAGCAAAGCTGTTCTACCATTGCTAAAATGTCTCACGGGCCAAGTAAGGACTTTGTAGAAGTTAGACGACTGCTTGACATTACCACCTTGACACTTTGGTATCTTCAGGTAGATGAAAACAAACAAACAAACCCAAACCAAACCAACCACAAATCCCAAACCCTATCTTCCTGCACGTGCATTTTCAGAAAGCAACGATGCTCCTTTCGGTTGGGGAGCTGCTGTGTTTGTGTTTGCCGCTCTGGGTGTGTGCGCGCTGTAGGCGTGGGTGTCCCCTCATGTCCGTGCCCGCCCGCCAGTGTCCAGCGTCTCTGGGCGTGGAGGGCTCCTGTGGCTGTCTTTGTGGCTGTGTGTTCCTGTCTGTGTGGCTGTCTGTGCGGCTGTGTTCCTGTTTGTGTGGCTGTCTGTGCTGCTGTCTGTGCGGCTGTCCCTGTGCCTCATCCTGCCACCCGCGGCCGGGACAGCGGCCCCCGCCCGGCCTCAGCTCCGCCCGCCTCGGGACGCGGCCTACGGGGGACAGGGCGGCTTCAGCAGCCGCGCTGCTTTCTGCCAGCGCTCCCTCAGCACGGCTCCGCAGCCCGGTCACTTCTGTGGGGCGGCTGGTGCCTTTGCACTTTTAGAACGACGCCCCAAAAGGCAGCGTGCGGCTCTAGCATCACGCCGCCCGCGGAGCCGCTCATGCCCGCGTCCCTCAGAAAGTTTGCGGCGTTCTCTCCCTGTGCCGTGTCCGTCCGTGCCTTCGCGGCTTCAGGAGAGGAGAGCCGGGCTGCACCTGCGCTCGCCCATCGGCTCCCACACCCCCAGAGCGGCCCGGCGGGCGGAGGGCGTGCGCGGGGCAGGGGCAGCGGCCGGCAGCGCCAGGCCACGGGGCTGACGGGCTCTTGCCCGACCTCTTCCGCGGGACACTGGGTACGAGGGGAGTGACGAGAGCGCGGCTTGGGTCGCTGCTGGGATGGAGGAGTCTGTGTGTGTTTGTAGTGAGGCGTCCCGGCTAGCGAGGAGGGCTCGGCGGGGCCAAAGCGCTGCCCCGGGGCGAACACCACCAGCCCGAACCTGTCGGTGTCAGAAGTGGAAGCGGCAGCCCTGCGGTCCCGCGCTGCAGCAGGTTGGGATGTCGGTCTCTATCCTTTCCTGTCACATGGCTGGTAATAGGATCCCTCATCTGCCACTCGGCACCTCGCCGGGGCGCACTTACAGGACACATGCTGTAGGGCCTCCGCTTCCCGCACTTTGCGCTCTTCCCGGCCGCCTGCCACCCCCGGAGAGCCGGGGCTGCCGCCTGCGAGCGCGGCGCGGCCCGGCGGCCGCTGCCTATGGAGCCTCCCGCCCTCGCCGCCGTCCTGGCCTTCTCCGGGCTGGCGCTGAGCTGCTGCCGCGAGCCCGTTCTGTCCGGTGAGTGCCGCTCCGGGGGAGCCGGGAGGGGGGCGCGATCGGGGCTGCTCCCCGAGCTCCTCGCCGGGCTGAGCGGCGAGGCAGCGGGGCAGCCTCTCCCGGAGCTCCGCAGACCCGCAGCCTCCCGCGGAAGGGCTCTGCCGGCCGGCAGCGCCTCTCCGAGGTCGCGACGACGTCCCTTCCTGCTCGGCAGAGCCGTGCCGGGCTCGAAGCTGCTCGTGCGAGCACGCAGCGGGTGTTTTTGCCTGGAGTCCCTGGGTATTTGAGGCTCTCCCCGCGCTTGCTGAACCGGGAGCTCGGAATCTCCAATGAAAGCATGATGTAAGAGAAAGATTAGCAGCACGTTTCTCTATAAAAGTGGGTCGATAGCTAGGTCTGCGGAATGGAGGCGTTTAAAGGGAGAGGGGCGTGCGATTGTTTGTGTCACTGGGGAAGAACCTGGGGCAGCAGAGCCAGAGCTTGAAGGGTGAGCATCCCGCCTGGCCGCAGCGTGCTGCCCCGAGCCTGGGCTCCTCTCACCGTTTAGAAGCCTGAAGCTTCACTTCCTAAGGTGATTTTTCACTTAAAATTTCTCGGCACCCTTTTGTTCTCGTCTGAGTTGTTACTAATGATTTCAAGTACTGTGGTTCTCCTCTGGTAAACACTGGCCATGCTTTGCAAGATCAGAAGTGGCAGTTCCAGATGGTCACAGCATCACAGCCATCAGATGTGTGGTCCTTCTGGATACATTTTGTGTATTCTTGCTTGCTGTTTCTTCTTACAAAGTAGAATTTGCTCTCCTTTTTGAACACATACTTGCTCATCAAGTTTTCATAGATGCAGCTAATTAGAAACGGAAAATACTTGCATAGCCATTTTCAGTGAATAAAAAACCTTTTACGAGAAAAAGTTCTGGTAAATTTTACTTCTTCACAGAAGTAAAACATGAGAGTATTTTAGATAAGCATTTAGAGAGCTGCCTAAGAGTCTTTTCCCAGTACCATTAGGACGTGCTTGGTGCACAGAGTGAATATTCCTTCCTTTGCTTAAGTTGAAGAATGTTTGTAAGGTTTCTGAACAGAACACTCCGTGTGTAACCATGTCTCTCACAGAGGGCTGTGTGACAGCAAGTGGAGGGTATGGCCCCGTGTGAATGTTTGGCTGTTAAAGAAGCCAGAAATGCCTGAGCACAAGCAGCTGGGGCAGGGCGAGGAGGGAAGAGTACATAATGCCTCCAAATGAAGGTGTAGCAAGGGAGAATGGATCTAGAAAGTCTTGCCACACATGTGTCTTCTGCTCAAGCACCTGGAAACGGTGCAAATACAGCAACTTGTAATTTGTATGGCATGTACAGGATCTGCAGAGTTCCTAATCTGCACAAGGTACACATCAGGGTCCTCGTCTTGACCCTGAATCCCACAGAACTGAGACGGGATCGGCTGTGTCAGGTTGCACTTGAAACTAGCAGAATTCTGAAATGACAAACATTACTGTTGCTTTTGGAAGGCAGTTTGTTGTATGGTATGTTTTTAATACCTATTTCTTGTTTTGGTTTTTAATGCCTACTCCTTGTTTTGGTTTTTAATGCATGTTGTTATAAGATTATTGTAAAGTGCAGTCAAAATAAAGACTGTGTCACCATCATTTGCTAAGAGAAAGACTTCTGGAATTACTATATGAAAAATTACTGCAGTTGTCAGAAATGAAGATGAATTAACAACCATTTTTGCACATAGTACTATGGTACTTTCCACATAATGTTTCTGCTTCGCCATGTGATGTTCAACAGTTTCTATTAACTCAAACACTGACATTTCTGCATTCAAACCTTGGCATTTGTGCATTCAAACATCAGCCATACATAATTTCTCAAGTGGATCAGAAATAAGAAGTGTGTGAATAGATTACCTACCATTAAAGGACTGTTTGAATTTGGTGAGTTTTGTGTTTCAAGGCCAAAGAAATGGAAATGCCTTCAGCAAATGTTAGTTTTGGTGAACAAATGTTATTTTATATACTCAATGCAACAAGTTATAATTTGTAGTTTCTGCATTTATACCATTCATTTAATTTCCCCATCAGAAATGTATGCGATTATCAATCTCTTTTTCCTTTCTCTGTTTTCTTTCCATTTAGCAATACTGAGTCACCATGTCCTTGGTTTTTTCCCAGCTGAGTCTTTCCTTTGAGCTGTTGTTCCAGCCTTCTCTCACAAACCTGGTATCTCTTGTCATCTTATTCTGTCTATGCTTTGGTGATTCAGAGAAGCAGTTCTACTTGATATGCCGTAAGCAAGCCTCATGGAAAGACTTAAAAAAGCAATTTTTTTTCTTTCTAACTAGGCAGGTAGGGGATGAAATAGTCAGACATTTCAGCATATCATGCTTGTACATGCATAGAGCATAACTCAAAATCCAGAGTTATGAGAATAGATTTAAGCAGGATGGAGCCAAAGAAGTAGGAGGGAGGCAGGGATTACATGCTGCCAGCTGCAAAATTTTCATTTTTGTCGTATCACACCATAATTGTTGTGCAGCTGACCACTCCCTTCATCCACACAGTGGCTATGGCCCATCCTGATAAAATTGCCAAAAGGATTCAGCCTGCCACACTTGACAAGGGAACAACAGTTTTAAAACTTCACAAAGAAAGAAAACAAATGGGTGTATTAAGGAACAGAAATTCTTATGGGGTCACATCACACATTCTTACTTCCAGTGATAAAGAATCACAAGGCAAGCAAGTGTGTTTGCATCTTGTGGCTGAGGACCAGCCAGCAGCTGCAAAGCTCTGGCTAATATAGCATGTTTGCACAGTACAAATAAAAAGACAAAAGGGACAGAATGCATTTAGAAATAATGGGAACTGTCTCTTGTGCTCATAACCTAACTCGTCTGCTTCCAACATAGTCCAGAAAAGGTCTGGCCAGACAGATTTATTTCTTTGACAAAAAAAAAAAAAAAAGTGATGAAAAGTGATTAGCTTGATGATTAAAGTCAAAATTTCACAAGGATAGCAAGTTCACGTATGTGACAGCTCACACACTGCCAGGGAGCACAAGTATCAACTCTGCATGTCTGTACATTTCCAGGAATGTACATTTTTACAAGACAGATGCTTCAGTCAAGGTTTGATCAAATCTCAGGTGGCATAATTCAAGTATAATCAGATATTCACTGTGGCTACTCTCTGGCTTGGACCAATGCTCATTAGGTCTCTAATTCTGACTAGCAAAAGTGATTGCATTGGAGGACTTTCAAAAATTGTATGTGTGTGTCTGTGGGTGTGTTTGCATGGATATGTAGAATGAGCAGGATACAATTCTTAAACTACATGTGGAGTTCCCCCACATTGTCAAGGAAGAAATGATCAGCTAATCAAGTGCCCTCATAGCATCACATCAAAATTTAACTGTCTGATTTAAGAAATGGGGAGTTGTTTTCTAGGAATTTTGATAATTGCTATTTTAAACAAAGACAGTTCTTTTGTGATGGTTTTTCTTTAGCTTGTATCAACTGTTCTGTTGTGGGGGGCTCTTACTGTTACAACACAGGCACAGAAGCCTGACAGTTTTGATGAGTGGTGGTATTATATTAGTATGAATTGGAATAGAAAAGTATTGAAATGCAAAAATAGTACACTGTTTTTTCACTCGGGTAGATCCAAATCAGCCTTATACTTCCCAAAAGCATTTACTTTGCATCATAATATGGAATGAGATTTTTTTCCCTGACCACTCATATGATAGTATGCAAATTAACTTTTGGTTCAGTCGATAAAACTGCATCTTCAAAGAAAACCATTGCAATGCTAAAAATATTTTTAATAATGACCACAGAAGCCATATTTGTGTCTTTCATCTCCTGAAGCTTCTTCTGGTTTTAATCAGTGTTCCCACATGAAGAACTGTGGCAACCTATGATAATAGAATCCCTATTCACATCTCTAGGGAAACAAAAATGTTCTCATTTGAAGAAGGTGATGTGGTGTTCTGCCCCTTCCACCCGTGGGCCCCTGCCTCTGTCACTGCCGGGGTATCTTGGCATCAGTTAAGTGGTTTCTGTCCTTTCCTCTGTGCGTTACTTTCTCATTGAAGTGTTTCTGCTGTCTAATTATACCCTTTCAATCAAATTAGAGACTGCAGCATCTGGTTAGTGCCTGTAACTGTTGCCATCTGCACCTAGATACAGTGCTTTCATTTAAGGAGGAGTGCTCCAATTGCAATCTCCAGCAAGAACTAGAACAGTTTAGATAGAATGGAAATGACTTAAAATTATTCTTGGAATACTCTGCAAGCACATGCATCAGGCAACCCACACTGAGTCATTATCGGACCTGGCACCCTTGGTTTCCTACCCTTATATTCTGCTTAAGCATTTTTCTGACTTCTCTAAAAGGCTGTAGGAAAAACAAGTGAAAACTGAGCAGGCAGTTATACCACGTAAATTCAGGAACCTTTAATTTTTGGTCCAACCTTACATTTAATTACACTGCTGTAATGAAACCCAAGATTTAAATAGTAGCCACTTTCATTTATCTTTCATTAATCTGCAGATCTTTAAAAGAAAACCTTGCCTTTTGTTGGGTAGTAGGTGGTAGGATAATTTCTGGCTTGGGTAGGCTAGTTTCAGGTTGATAATTGTTGTCAGCCTCTCTGGACACTGCTTAGTGCTCTAAGTAGCTTCGAAAACATTAAGCAAACAAAGTGGTTTGGTTTGTTTTTTTTCTCTCCAGTGGAATAGGAAGAAGTTTGTCATTCTGAATTTTCAGTCTCAAAAGCTATGTACAGGCCTCAAACTTGGAAAGTACTCTAAGAAGTCATTAAAACCATCCTGAAACCTCCATCCCTTCAGTCTGCAATTTGTAGTGTCTCTAGATAGATGTCTTTGAGAAAATCATTGGAAGCCAATGCAGACTCTGAAATGTCAGTGATTTATCATCAATAAAACATCAGGCTGTTATAGTCTGCACTACCTTAATTTTTCAAATGATCCTGAAGTGGCGCCCATGTGGAGTGCAGGCAGCCATGCAGTCCCAAAGTAACAAAGGAAAATGATCATTGTAAGGTCCCTACATTGAAGAAGAAACCGACACAGATGGAAAGAATTTCTACAACAGCTGCTGTTTGATCTTCCAAATGTTGATCTGGCTCTAATAAAACTAATTGTGAACCTGTATCACACACTGAGTATTCACTTACAGTGGACAACATCCCTGGTCTTGTTTTCTGCTTTTTTGTTCTAGCATTTGTCACTCAGTACATGCTTACCTAGCCTCAGCATTCATTTTAAAAGTTACTTGCTGTCAACCGTGGCACCTGATGTGTTGAAACAAAACAGCCCTGACAACAAAGTGCTGTCCCTGTTTTCTCATCAAGGCTCATGAACATTAGCCTGAACAGCATCTGTTGGAACCTTTTGTGACTAGAACCTCTGCAAAGGTTCTCTGATTAATTCTGTTTACAGGTATCCCCATGACACAGCAGAAGCAGCAGGGTCATTAGGCAGTTAATTGAGTGAAATCATCGTGGACACTGATTCTAATCACAGATTTGACATAAGCCTCTACTTTAGACTATGTCTGAAACCCAGCTGACTAAGATCTTAGAAGTATGAGGTCACACACTTCTAGATTTGAGTGGTCACAGCTTTCTTCATGTCCTGTCTGAAACCCTAGTGTTTTAGTAGAGGTTTATAGCTGACAGGATAGTCTGAGCCTTGTGTGCATGAGCAAAATCCATGTGGCAAATCTATCAAGCACAGTGGCAACCTGATGCCTTCATGGGGGCTCTCAGCTGTAGTGTCCACAAGGTTTCTGTTCTTCCCTTGCTGTCCTTGCTACTGGGAGAGGACTGGGATACAGTGCAAGTTCTGTCACAGTTGACCATAATCTTACAAAACTTTAAGGAATAAGGCTTGCTGAAATTCACAGAACCAGTATTAATTTTCTTGAGTCACAGTTCTCATGTTACATTCCAAGTGAGGGGCTTCATACCCTAAAGTGGCATGGAAGTATCACTCAACCTAAGCGTGCCACAACAAAGAGGGGTGGTTGTTGCTGGTTGATTTAATATTTTCCTCCTCCCTTTTGCATAATCTACCAAAGGGAAATCATCTGATTTGAGTAAGCCAAAGAGTTGTACCAACAGTGTTCAGTCCAGTCTTTTCTGACTGTTTAATTTAGATGACCTCATCTGAATTAGTTTTATGCAGACAAATCTAGGTGATCTTTTTTTAAGCTCATCTTTCCACAGAATTATTGCACCAGTGTACAAGACAAAAAGTAGGGTGGAGGTTCTAATCTTCTGTTCTCCAGAATCTCTTAGGGCTTGGATTTGAAATAGAGAGGACAATGGTCTTTCCGCAGACAAAACATGCATCTTCAGCACATTGAGAGTATTAATTTCATGATGAAATCACTAAGGTAGTGTCTTGGCTGTCGTGCAGCAAAATATGATGAAATCACTGCATGTGATAAACAAAAGAATTTTTTGTTGTTGCCAAGAAGTGCTTACTCTAAATCAAGGACTTCTCAGTTTCCCATGCTTAGCCAGTGAGCAGGTGCACAAGAAGCCAGGAGGGAGCATAGCAAGGACAACTGACCTGATTTTTTAAAATGCAAATATCTATTTGAAAATATTGCACTCCCGTGCTATGGCAAAGTCGTTATTCATCCTTAAGAAAATCCAAATTCCTTGTAACACAAAAGGTTTTGTATTTCATTTGATAACAGCTGCTAAATTCCATGACTTAAAGTTTCAGTGTTTCAGGGATAATCAATGATTTTCCGTGGTATCTCACTGCCTCCCCTTTCCACATCCACATCTAAGCCAGGGGAGCTTTGTTTCAGCTGAAACATTTGCACCAAATCTCTTGATAGCACAAAGGAACACAGGAGGCACTGATACAGCTACCGATTGTCTGGGGAACAAAAACTGCAGTTAAGAGGAATGAAGAGAGATAAGTAGGCTAGATAGGTAGGCTCTGACTCTTCTTTTTTTTTCTTAAAGTGCAGTGAAGTTTGAAGAAAATCAGTTAAAAAAAGCTGACATGAAAATGTAAGTCAGTCACTACTGCAAGTTAAAGCATGGGCCAGTCTTAGCAGATCCTAAAATGGACTAAGTTAACTTCAGTTTAGTTTGCCAGACTAAATTCAGGTATTGTAACATTCTTTAAATTTCTGAGTAGATGGAAGTATATATTGCTTTTCATTTAGGAGTGAGAAGCAAAAAAAAAAAAACCAAAAAAAAAACCAAACAAACAAAAAAACCCCCACAAAGCTAATATAGATATCTTTTCTGGATGTGCTTATCACTTTTCATAAATTCTTTTTGCTGCTTATTATTTTGTATATCTATTTTGATTACATTTTTCTCTCTTTTATGTTAAAATTCATCAGCTTATATTTTTCAGCTGTAACCTACAAAAGCTTTTATATTAACTGAAAAACAAAAGAGGTATTGAATAAAGTTGCAGCACAGTCATGACCTTAAAGTGGGGTTTTTTTTCATGTTTACACAAATATCTGTGGTGGCCTGAATACTGGAAACTCAGATTTGCATTTTTAAGCAAATGTCTGCAGCCCACCTGTTTTGCTAAGGCAGGTAAATTACAGTAAGGAGGAGTATCGACCTGAAGCTTGTTTTTGTTAAATTATATACCTTTCTGTCCACAGATGATAACAGAATATATTAATGGCTGTGCAGACACCTCTTCTATGTGCCTTCAGCAACAAAATTTCATTTAATAGAAATCCAAACTTGCCTAGGCATGAAAATGCACAGTGAAAGCACAAAACCATTGTCTTTCATCTGCTGTGTAATAGAACTCTGAAATAATTATTATAATTGTACCATTCTGATATTTGTGAGCCCAGACTAAACTAATTTCAGAGGCATGGTTTTAATAATACATTTTTCCTTCTTCTACAGTAGTTCTAAATACAAAAACAGTGTACTGTTAATATCAGGATTAAAATGTGGGTGGGTTTTTTTTTCCCTCTTCCAACTGCAGCTACACAGGTCTTTCTAGACTTGTTTTGTAAGTTAGATTTCATGAGGGACACCTGAGATCAGCACATACTTCAGAGCACTCTCCCACTCCCTCAGGGCAGTAGAACATCTCTGCAGCTGCAGTATGGTTTCTGCAGAGAACACTATCAGATGAAACAGGAGCTTTCACAGCCTGTAGTTAGCAGAAAGCTAATTTTCAATGAATTTCCCCAGTAATGCTGTCCAGTACAAAGAAATGTTTACAGCAGTGTAACACAGCAGTTTTAATTCTGTCCCAGACTGTTATGTTTTAGTCCTATTCTTAAATAAATGCAAGGATGATAAATGTTAGCAACTATTAATTATAAGCAGGATGGACTTATTTATGGTAAACTAATTATAATGATTCTTCCTGGGAGATAATCACAGGATGGTTGGGATGAAAGTGACCTCTGGAGGTCATGTTGTCCAACTGCTGTGCTCAAGCACAGTCACCTAAAGCCCAGGACCATGTCCAGGTGCCTTTGGAATATCTCCAAGGATGGAGATTCTACAGCCTCCCTGGGCAACTTCTTCCCATGCTCTGCCATGCTCACATTGCATAATTTAATCAAAAATGTTTTGCAATTTCAGCAGAAGTAAAACTGTTCATGCATTTGGATATTTATTTCATCAGAAGATGTCCAGTGAACATGTCCATATCCATGGCAGGGGGGTGGAACTGGATGATCTTTAGGATCCCTCTCAACCTGAACCATTCTACAGTTCTGTGATTAACGAGGCCCAGCAAAGCCAGCCAGCATGAAAGTTGTAGTTCAGCTGAGAAGGGGCTAATGTATTTAGTGAAATCATTCTCTACTTTGGTTTCTAACTTGCTGAGTATCAGGAGGCTAGGGAAACAAATGTAAGGGGGAGAAAATGTGAGTGAGGCAGAAGAATACTGACCCATACTTTTTAATCTGAAAGCATAAATGCTTTAGTAGCAAATCACAGTATTGTGATTATACTCTGTTGAAGGAGGTCCCTTTCTAAGGCAACTCAATCTCTAAGAATTTTTCTAAATCAGAATGTAAATGTTGATAAGATCCATGCTTACAAAGTCTTTCACTTTGTAAAGTACAGATAGTCACAACTTTAGCTGAAGCGGCATGAGATTTTGGTTAATATGCTGATAAGTAGCAGACTGATAATGTCATATGATTTCATTTTTGGAAAATTAACAAGTCACAGAGTCATCCTAATGAGTAAAACACAAGGAAAAGTAAAAGTAAAAAAGTATTATGCTTACTCAGAAGATGCATGTTAGTTGTGTAAACCTCTCATCAGACCTGTCTTATACATTGTTTATTAAAGTAATGACATCATAATCTCTTGAATAGAGGTTTGACTGAAAGCTTAAATCCTAGCCAGCATCTTTAGCTGCCTAAACAATGCAGGAAACATGGTCTATTGGATATGGAGTGGAGGGTGAGGGAAGAACAAACACTAAACCTACAAACATTCTTTCTTTTCCCATTGCTCTTTCTTCCCAGAATGCTATACAGCAAATGGGGCTGACTATCGTGGCACTCAGAACCAGACCTCCCAACATGCAGGAAAACCTTGTCTTTTTTGGAATGAGACCTTTGAGCATCCTTACAATACTGTGAAATATCCCAATGGGGAGGGAGGCCTTGGAGAGCATAACTACTGCAGGTAAGAAATATCCCATTGCTTTAACATTGCCCGAATACCCAGTGTTACTTTAAGCAGCTGACAGAAAATTGGGAAATGTCCTGTCAGGCAGTGAAGAATGTCAGAACCATGGGTATCTAACACTTTTTGGTTTACCCTGTAATCAGTACCCTGAATCTATCAGCACCATTAGTAGAATAACTTTCTCAGCCCAGCTCCCACACTTGTTCAGCACAGTCCCTATCATGTGTCCAGTTTGTAAGGTGGCATGAGAGAGAAAGACTATAGATTACTTAAACGAAAAGGTGGAGATAAAAAAAACCAAATTAGAAGGACACAGTGCAGTGAGTGTCTGGAAGAGTCTCTGGATGGATTTTATCCTCACGCACAAGCCTGGTTCTGTTACACTTTCCAAGTTTTGTGCTCATGAAAGATTTGTAGTGACAAAAAATTCTCATTGAGCCTCAGTGATAGAGTTATTTGAATTCAGAAGCTCATCTGTCAGGGGTTACAATGCCAGATTAAACCGTGGATTAAGTGCATTAAAACATGCACTTCTCTTTCCTTGCCTTCTAGAGAAAGTCTTCCATAACTAGGATAGAACTTAGAACAAAACTTAAATAAGAACTTCAGAACATAGGGGCCAAATCAGAACTGAAGTTCAGAGAGGTTTAGGCTCTGCAGGCTCTTTTTCAGCTCTGTGTCTCAGTAGGCAAACTAATAGAGAACTGTGAAAAATACAGTGGCCACTAAATTATCTTTGATACTAATAGCAGAATCAAGAATGCAATTTTGATTGTTGCTGTGTGGCAATATTCTAGACAGGCTTTATCTACAGGATCTTACTTTTGGCAGTCATCTCTGGCTAATATTTTGGTTAGTACAAAGCAAAACATGTACAAGCTGTGCAAAAACATGCATGAGAAACTGAATGTTTTTCCAGATACTCAAAAAACACTTACTTGAAATTTGCTTTACCTAGCAAATGAGAACTTGGTAAATGCTACAGGGAATAAGAAACCTATAATCTGATATGTAAACTTGAGAAATTACTTAATTATCAAAAAGAGCTTTTTTTACCTGAGTCTGCTAGGTATTAGATTATCCTCATTTTCTTCCTTATGCTGCATCACTTTGCCTAGGAGTTCTCACAGGTGTATGGAATGACAGTCCTAACTAATGGATGACTTTTAACTTCACATTCTCTTGAAAGAAAGCTTGCAAAGTCACTAAGAATGCTGGAGTATATCTAGAGCATGCAAATGTTGCTGAGGGCTGTGATACAGCTGGTTTAGCTCTTTCTCTGACATTCATCTGCTTGATGACAATGGACAAGTTGATTTTTCCCTTTTCCCAGGCAGCACATACCTCACAAGGCTTTTTTAAGGCATAATACATCGCCTTGAGATTTGATTTTGGGGACAACATTTGAACAATCAAATTTTACACTTGAAGTATTAATCAGAAGCATGTTACCTCTCCATGGGTGGTCCTTACTTGGAATACTTTGTTTACTGCAAGACACCCTGTTCAGATGGAAATGCCTCAGCATTCCACTCACTTCAACCATAACAAAATTATGAGGACTGAAATTTTTGGAGATTTTGAAAGACAGAGAGTTGTTTTCTAACTGCCATGCACTTCTGAGGTTGAAGACCAAGATTTCTAAAGACATTCACCATGTTTCTCTCCAATTTCCTCACATTTTTAAGGATTTCTATGTAGAGTGCCATTCTCATGATTGAATTCCTGACATACGGTTTCTGTCATGAAGATGTAATTGCAAAAATTCCAGTAACTCTGGATACAAGGGAAAATGGGTAGTTGAAGTACAAGCTTCACTTGGTTTTAGTCTTCTACTTTTTTTAGCTGCTGGAGGCTCTTGCATTACACCTAAATTCCTAGCATAGCTAGTCTTAGACTTTCCTGGTGCACTGCTTCTACTAATCTGTTTGAAAGCCTAACTAGCAACATTTTAGTCATCTAAACTGCACTCAACCCACCAGTTGTTTTCAGCAGTCTGCTATTTGACCAAAAAACATCCACAGAATTTCTAAAATTGGATCTCCCACAAAAGAGTTGTTAATAGGCGTAAATGACAACATGCAGCTGAACTGACACTTCAGTAGGGCCGTGTCATTTATAGAATTCATGCCAAAGCACATGATAAAAAGATTGCAACTGGTCCTAGTTAAAAGAAAAAGTCATAATTAAACCTGACTGTCCAAAATAAGAATTTATTCTCTTCAATAGATCTTTGCAATGTGAATAGCCTTTCACAGTGTACATAGAAAAAAAACTTTAAATAACCTAATGACTAATTAGGTATGCTTTTGTAAGTGGTGCTACACAACAGCAAATAATTATAAAAATAGTGATCATCATCATGGACATATAAGAATTAACCATCAATATAAAGAGATCACTGGAATGGATTTAGTCAGTTTTATTGAAAGACAGGAAAAAAAATTCAGTCTTTCCCAGAAGACTTTATCAGCTATCAGTATTTTTATCACCATACACACAGAAAGTCAGAATCTGGACTATTTTGTACCAAGGCAGAAAATCAAGTTTATGAGTCTATGAAACCTGCCCACAGGATGTGGGACAGAAAATCTTCCTCTCTGTCAGTACTGACCAGAAATAGCTCTGCACCTTTTAACCTTAGAGTAAAACAACCTATATTTTAGACATTACTAGCATCAGATGCTTGATGAATACTGTAATAACCAAAGCTATCTGAACTTTCTGATATTGCAAAACTTTGCATTTTTTGGTAGGTACTAGAGCAAAAATAGTAATGCCATTGAAGCTTAATAAGATTGATTTTTTTTTGGTGTGTGTTTTTTGAAAAAAAATTGATGAATTTCACTGAGTGTTTTTCTCTTTCAGAAACCCTGATGGGGATGTCAGCCCGTGGTGCTATATTGCAGAACATGAAGATGGAATATACTGGAAATACTGTGAGATTCCATCCTGCCGAAGTAAGAGCACCGTGCAGTTTTTTAGGCCTGCATCTCAGCTGAGCAGACTGGCAGATCCACAACAGTGGGCAGTGATTTCCAAACACAAACTAGGATAAGGCAAAACAGCTGATTTTCAGTTGCAGACTAAGCTGTATTTTAAACAGGTGTCTTAAGAGTTAATGACAAGCTTACTGAATTGTTCCTCCTTTTCATCTCAGAATTACTGGATTATATTATTTACAAATAATACTGTATGACAGGGAATCACACAAAACTTGTTAAGTACTGCTAGTTCTTTGAATTCATAGAGCATTAATTTATTAAAATCTAGAGGACAAAAAAAAGGAAAGTTTTTACAAGGTATACATGTGTCCATTCATTGCAATTAGCTCATAAAATGAATTACATTAGTTTAATGTGTATAGAGCATCCTAAACAGAATTGCTTGGAGGAAACATAGAAACAATATGAGAGGACACAGTGAAAAGGTGACTGTGCTATATGGGAACTCTGGAGTAGAATTCTGTCCCTGGCAGGTGCAGATACCTAACATTGCTGTGAAACCACAACTTGGACATTGTTTGATTTTTTTTTAAATCAGATCATTTACAGGCTACTCACATGAAGCTTCTTTCCAGAATATTTTTAATGTATTCTATTTTTTACTGTGTCCACAGTGTCGTGATTTGTGTCAGGATCTTCCAAAATTTTCTTGCCTAAATCACATTCTTTAAAATATGCCCAAATATTAAGAAGATATTCTAGTCTTGCATGTTAACAAGCAACCATAGCTACACATTTTAGTAAGTCTAATCATTAATGCCTTCACTTGCTTTCCTAAGTTCTTTTGTGCAGGTACCCTCTGTTTCTGAGGCATAACTTAGGTCTTCACTCTGAGCACCAGAGCAGGTGTCCACACATTTGATTGGAAGAAGTATATTTCTTAAATGAAGTTAAGAAAACAAAACCAGACAAGAAAAATGGAGCTAAAGTGATTTTTTTTAATTTTTTTTTTACTTTGTTCATAGCTTTGTTGTTTTGGGGTTTTTATGAATGTGAATGACTCACATCTTCATGCCAGGCAAACAAATACATAAGTGTGACCTTAAGACAGATGGCTTTTACCTAGACTTAAATACAGATTAAGGAGTCTAATTTAAATAACACAGAATCATTCAACACTCTGATACTCATTGTTCAGAGGACATCCTACTCTTATTTTTCTAATATATAAGATATGATTTAAGAAACTTAGCCTTCCTAATTAAGAAATTTAACTTGGTCTAAAATGAAAGAATTTGCATTTTCTTTAAAGACCACAGATGTTAACAAATTATCTGGATATGGCACCAGAAAAAAAGCTGAAAGACAAATTCTCTCCACTCCATTTGTTCTACACAAAGGATCCTTTTAAAACCAGCCTTGCTCATTTTCTCTGTGGTGGGGAGCAGAGGATTTAAACTTGGACACTTACTTGCACAGATAATCCAGACTTACATTTACAAAATGTCCTTTTGACCAGTAGCAGCTGCTTCAAGCATTGCACTGAAACTCGATACTAGAAAAAGGAATTGCAGCAATTTAGAGCAAACTGTACATTGCAAGCCCATCCAAATCTTAATACAAACCTCATGGTTTATGAAGCTGTGTAAAAAAATCTTTTATTCTTCACCAGACTTTCTGTTTTCAGTAAGCATGATGCTAAGTCATAGGACCATCAAAACTATCTTGTGAAGTGTACAAATGAAATGCAAAGTCAGTTTTTGAATGCAAAACTTGACTTTTGTGACGGAGCAAGAAAGCAACTGTTTAAAACAAAATCTGTTTGAAAATTTTTATATAAGAAATTTCTTATATAATTTGAAAAATTTCTTATATAAGCTTCTTTTTCTTAATGATATTCACTACTAGAAAATTATCTGGAACATAAGTTACCTATTAACTCTGCCCACATAATACCATGGCAGTGCCAACAACATGAAGCATCTTGATTGCCTAGAGAGATTTGCATGCAATGATTCATCTGAACAATAATTAAGAATCTACAGTTAAGAATTTTTCATTATAGTGATGAATTCACATGATTATCTCATGTGTCTCATTCCCTAATATTTACACATAACACTACATGCTTCAGTCAGAAATGTGTTCTGACATTCTGCATAGTAATGTAGAGAATTTAGCAGTGTTAGATGAAGATGGATGAGCACAATCACAGAAGACAGTGTAGTTACTCCAGGAGGAGCTTTGTCTTCCCTTTTCTTCCTCTCTCCCTTTTCATGTCTGCTAAGCAGACTGGAATGGACAGAAACAAAATAAAAGGCAAAGCTGCAGCTCTGAGTGCTGAGAGAACATGTGCATCTCACATGGAGGATTCAGAACTGAATGCTTCAGATGGTTTGTTTGCAGTGCTGCCGCTATTCCTGACTTTTTTGGTCTCCTTGTTAATAAGGTTAGGTTTTAGTTCAAAGGAAATAACAACTTACACTTCCAAAATGTGAGAAAAAGAAAGAAAGGCTTGCTATACCACTTAACTACATCTTCATGTTTATGACTCACATGACTCTCTCCCCATAAACAGATTTCATTACTGGAATCATATTTCCAGCGTGCATGTAGGTAACATAATAAATTTGATTGAAATATGGAGGAGGTGTTAAATGGCAGGGCCAGCTAAATTATACAGATCTGTATGGAACACAGGAACAAGGACAGCTCAAAGCATTTGTGCATGCTACCAATGGAAAAAGCTGGGAGGCTCTTCAAAGACAGCTAGATGAGCATAGCTGGAACATGGTTTTGAGCTCAAAAGGATTAATTCCATATTTTAATACACTGAATATGTGCCTCAACATGTAAAATGAAGACGCTGTGGTGTTTGCCAGGACCTCATTACGTCAAATGCTGCTTAAAAGTAAAATAATATGCTTGTGCAAAAGAGGTGAGCTTTTAAGCAGAAGAGGACAAATAGATACAAATGGGTGAAGACAGTGTAATAGTGAAACCTCACTGGTGAGCATGAACAGTAATTGCAGAACACTGACTACCTCATTTTTTTGCCAAGTTTCTTTAGCAGGCTAAATATTAAGAGGAAAGAAGGTTAAAATACTGCTGGGACACCAGAGACTTATTAGTCTTAGGATGTATGCTTGATTTAGTTAAAAAATTTAAGAAGTTTTCAAATTACTCAGGTTTCTTAACATACTGAAGTACTAATCCTCTGGAGCCAAGGTTGAAAGGTCTCACTAATAAAGCTACTTTAAAAAAGAAAAAAAAATTAAAATCCCAGGTCTCTTAGGAAAATGAGCTAGGTTGGATAACTAGGAAGCTTTTTCAGGGCTGTGAAATCATGCACAATACAAAAAAGAATGAGCTCTCTCATGAGTTATCTGCCCAGCTGTACTCAGCTGGGGTGGGGCTGCAAGTGGGGATTTCCAAAGGTATGTAAAATCAGGCTGTAACTTGAAGTCTCAGTACTTATATGAATGTTGCTGCAGGGCATATCAAAGCCATAACTCCATGCAAGTATTTATAATTGAAATTGTATTCTTAGAGAACAAAATTAATTTATGAACAGTATTTCAAGCAACGTTATGTCATTATTTATAATAAGTTTACTGGGTACTCTAATAACCAATGACTACATAAATAAAACACTCGTACAGGTCTCTGAACACATCATGTCAAACAGAGCTGTGGCAGTTAGGTGGACAAAAAGAATCCATATCAATCTGGCACAGGAATAAAACTGAACATGGAGCTAGTAACAGATTTAATTTCAAGCGTGTGAATAGATATGACAAGTGGGCAAGGGATAATTTTATGCCATTATCCCAGCACTGTATTGTACTCCACATCCTCTCCAGGGGTGGTCATGGCTAAATTCCAGTGCTTTGATGAAAAGTGCAAAACAAAAAAAAAAAAACAAAAAAAAAACACCAGAGCACTGAAGGGAGAAAATTCTGATCTCCCATAGTGACCAAGGAGCCTTGAAACATCATATTAATGTAAATAGATGGGTTGTTTTCTTAAAGTAATATTGCTCATTTTAAATCTCCTTGTATGATGCTTCAGATTCATATCAGAATTCAAGTTTTAAATATTAGGAAATTCCCCTACATTAGTCTCTCCCATAAAACTTGCCAAACTCCATTCTAAAACAGTTTAGGTTCCCTTCCTCAAATATCCTGTTTTGAAAACTTCCAGAATGTCATGTTTGGAAGGTCAGACAGAAATCAAACAGTTTAATTTCTATTTTCAGAATATGCATGCCAGTAGTAAAAAAAAAAAAAACCCAACAAACACAACCCCCCTGAACCCACTTAATACCTTGGGTGTTTTAAATTGCCTCTTTCAGGAGAAATGAACAAGGTATTTATCTTCTGTATTTTACTGCAGCTTACTGAAACCAGCTAGACAGTCTTACAGGTATATTGCTGAGATGATATGATACTCTTTTGTCCCATCACTCATCCCTGGGTGTGTTTGGAAAATATGACAAGAATCATACAGAGCATGAGTAACAAAGAGTAACAAAGAGTTCCCAAAGGGCCCAGACCACAGAGAGAGCTGCTCAGTGACCAGGTAGTGCATGAAGTGCTCTGGGATGCTTACAGGCACTTTAGAATGACTGCTGTGTGTCACTCTTGCCAGTGCCAGGAAATCTGGGCTGTTACAAGGACCATGGGGAGCCCCCTCCTCTGACTGGCACCAGCGAGACCTCCAACAAGCTCACCATCCAAACGTGCATCAGCTCCTGCCGCAGTCAGCAGTTCAAGGTGATTGCTTTGACATCCATTTACAACATGTTTTCAAAGACAAAATGGTAACATGCCTAGAGGTCTCTGTCGTATTTCTCCTCTTCCCTGTTTTTTTTTAACCTTTGGGAGGTCTAAGGCTGCACTTTCACCCTGGAGATCAAGCCCTCGCTCTGCATCCAGAGGAATCTGGACAAATGACTAATGAATAACACCAGGAGAAAATATGGTTGCTTACTGCAATTGTGAGTGTCAGGGTGCCCTCCATTCCATCTTTCCCCCTAATCTTTAGCATCCTGACAGCCCAAACAAAAATAGCCTGTGGTGGTTCCTCTGACTAATCATACTTCTCCAAAACACACAATTTCTGCTGCCAGCTTTCTTGCTCAAACAACCTCCCGCTGTCACTCCTTCAAATACTATTCCTCCCTTCCTTATGCATCTTTGTTGTCAAAGTTTGCAGGCATGGAATCAGGTTATGCTTGCTTCTGTGGAAATAATCCTGACTACTGGAGATACGGGGAGGCAGCCAGCACGGAATGCAACAGTGTTTGCTTTGGAGACCACACTCAGCCCTGCGGTGGGGACGGCAGAGTCATTCTTTTTGACAGTAAGTATTGAAGCAGGCTCAGTTTTTCCCAAAGGAGAGGCCTCACATGTTCAGCAAATTAGGGAAAAGGCTCAAAACAAAGAGAACTGTAGCACACCAAAGAGCAAAACACCTCCATTCCGTATAAATTAAAGCTGTTTTCCATTTCTGCCTAAAATTCTCATCCATTAATAATGTGGATTAGCTCTTCCAAGAAATGATGCTTGCTCATGCTCCAGAGGTTCTCTCACTTTCTTCACAAGTGGTACTAAGTCAGCTGTCAGAAACTCCCTAAGAATTGATCTTACTAGAGAGTAAAAAATGGTATGTGCATGTATGGTTATGCACTGTCAGTTGGTGCCATTTGAGTTCTCTCTGGATTCACTGGAGTTTAGATTTTCAGTTTCATACAGCTATGAAGGAATATCAGTCATTAAGCAGTGAGAGTTAATAGTCACTAATCCACTTTCCTCCCTGCCTGATAGGGATGGAGTAGAAGCCCCTGAATCAGTGATTTATCTCATTCCATTTCTGCAGGGATGCAGGAGAGGGTGCACAGTTACACACAAGGACAAAGGAAAGTTGCAGTGTTCAAGACTGATGCATAGGTCAGAGTAATGAGGCAAGAAAAGACAACAAAAGCTGTGCTCCCAGTGCTGAGGGAGGGAAGGAGCAGCTGCAGACTGCATCCTGCTGGCCTAGCCAGCCTGTTCCTTCAAATCACATTTAAGTATTAGAATCTACAGGGTGCTGAAGCTTTGCAAAATTAATGTATTATCTCTTTTTTCTTTATTTCTTTCTTTCTTTCTTCCCATTTTTCTCCCTTTCCTCTTGTTTTCACAGCCCTTATTGGTGCCTGTGGAGGCAATTACACTTCTGCTACAGCTGTGATCTATTCCCCAGATTTCCCTGACACATACGGCACAGGAAAAGTCTGTTATTGGACCATACAAGTTCCAGGAGCATCTCAAATCCACTTCAGCTTTGTCCTTTTTGAAATCAAGGATGCTACAGATATGGTGGAATTGCTGGATGGTTACACCTACCACGTTCTAGCTCGTTTTAATGGCAAGAACAAGCCTCCCCACACCTTTAACATCTCTTTGGATTTTGTCATTTTGTACTTTTTCTCAGATGATATCAATCAAGCCCAGGGATTTGCTATCAGGTATAGAGGTAAGAGGCTACCTTTGCTCTTCTACCTTTCAGTGAAGCATTTAATTCACACAGGAGATTTCTGAAGTGGCAATTAAAGAACAAATATTTCAGCTCTTATCTAACAGGTGTTTCTTGTTCCCACTACTCACTGGGTGAAAGTTTCACCAAAATTTCTCTCAGTTTAGAACATTCCAGTCAGCTACATAATAAATAGCAACACACAGGTTTTCAAAACCTGTACTTTGCTATTTATTTCATAATTTCAAAAATTCAATTCTATACCTTCCTGTTAAAACAGATTGGAAAATGAGAAAGGAAAACAAAACAAACAATAATCCATCTGCACGTTGGTTCATCTTGGCTCCTCCCAACAGTCTCCTCCTCTCCAGGTGAAAGTCACCAAGATAAAATGTTCTGGTCCTTGAGTTGTACCTGCTGTTATGATGAACAATCAGCTTCCAGAAAATTCTGAGAACCCCAACGTGGTGAAGTACAGGCTTTTTAAGGAATCAGATATAATTTGATTATTTGAGTTCTCTTACATAAGCCAGAGAGCAGCATGTCTGTTTATAACTTTACAAAATAAAGTCCAATTACCCCTGTTAAGAGATGGTTACTGTAATCATACTCCTGTGTTTTCAGCTGTGAAGGACAATGTGCACCAAAACAAGATCCCAGTGAATCACACCCTTCCAGAGAGGACAAATGAACAAGCAAATCTCAGCATCAATGCAGCCCGGTCATCAAAGATACTCTATGTCATCACAACCAGCCCAAGCCATCCAACTAGCTCCATGCCTGGTAATGACACAATAAAATGTGGAAATGGGAAAAAACATTTTGCCAAAGCAAAATCTGGAGTCACTGTTTCCTTTGCTGCCTCCCTCAAAGTTAGCAGATCCACTGTGCATCTTACTAAGAGATGAATTTTCATTCAGTCTAATTAGCAATTTCCTTTGCTGCCTCCTCAAAGTTAGCAGATCCTTCAAAGTTAGCAGATCCACTGTGCATCTTACTAAGAGATGAATTTTCATTCAGTCTAATTAGCACTAACTGGGATTCTCTCATTACATTTCAAAACACTTCTCAGCCTAAGTCAGAAATCGTGTGAAGATGTTGAGTTCTTGAGAATGAAAGTATATAAAAATATGTGAGTCAGAGCAGCCTCCTTACTGAAGTCAGCTTGAGTGATCTGCATGGCACAGAAGGGCACAAGTTGCTGAAAAAAGAGCAAACTTTACTTGTAGAGTCTAGAATAGCTTGAATGCTGGTTGCATCCCTGTTACCCCAAATTAACAAAAGCCTCATCAATAACACAGAGGACTAGACAAGTTAATGGGTGTAGGGGAGGGGTGACTGAGAACTGTCATGTCTTTAGAACTCAGCTTCAGGACATCACTGAATTCAGAAATTACTGAGCTGTAAATAATTGAAGGCTGGAAATGCACTCTTGGTGAATATCACCATTATTCTCTCCTGTTGTTAAACTACCCTGAGCATCTGCTTTTCTGTATCATTGGAGCTGGGCCTCAATCCCACTGGGGACACTGCCACAGTGCTGGGATTTGGGATTTGGTTTGGGATGCTGCAGACAGCATCCAAACCTGAAACATGAGCTGCACACCCAAACCAGCCAAGGTGCAGAATGTCCAGGAACAGTCTGGGACTAGGCCCAGCCTAATGCTGGCTTACCACAGTTACACCTAAACTGCCTAGTGTTAAACTGCCCAGGAACACCAACAGCAACTGCACCCTTGGATTTCATACAGTTCCAAAAATATTGTTCAAATCATCATGTAGAGGCAATGCTTTGAGGAAGGGGCAGTGGGTGGAAGGGAACTTCTGCTTCCTTTCCTAGATAATTGTACTAGTATATGCTTTGAATTTTGCCAGCTTTCGATTTTATTGGGAGGAGTTTTGCAAGAGAAAAAAAGTTCTGACTGAAAGTTGTATGGTTTGTGCCAGTCTGCAGAAAATACTTGCAGGTTTAAGGCATTGTCAAATTCCAGATTTGAATAAAGCATTTGAATAAGGCTGTTTGTTCCTTTCATGCAATATTCTTACTGTAAAAACTGTAAATAAATGAATGTACTGAGAGCTCCCCCTCTTCTCTTTTGCAGAATGGACAATATACAGCCTCACAGCACTGCTCATCCTAAGTGTTACAGCCATAATAGCAAAGATACTTCTGCATGTTACCATGAGGTGAGTGTGGAGCAAAACCAAGCACAGAGAACCAAGATCTCAGCTCTGAACCAAACCTGGGGCTCCTCTCTGCAATTGTCAGACTGGCCACATTCCAAACCAAGTTAGCTATTATGTATTTGTATTCTCATAGAAGATCCTAAATAAGCACATTTTTAAACTTCCCAGTCTGTTAGGATAGCATTTGCTACTAGACTATCTCTCCTGCTCTTGATTTGACAAGATTTGCACTTTAGGGCAAAGCAGGAAAATGTTATCAGACATCCAAGTTTGGTGAGAAGAGGTCAAATTGTGATAATACTTTGCAGGGAAACAATTAAAACATCTACACTCCCTACCAAGTAAATTTTGTGTCCTCTAGATGGACACTCACTGAATGAAATGAGGGGTGAGTTATCAGCAAATCAAAATGTTGACTATTGTATTCACATAGTACAAATATGCTTAAAATATACAAGGAAATTAATTTGTATTAATAGCAACTACAATAACAACTACAGTCTGTAGAGCCCTCTTAGCTTAATGTCACTGCTGTCATTAGGGTGGCAAAAGGATACCTAACCTTTCATTTGATCAGGCCAAACCAAGAAACACTCCAAAAACCTGCATTTTGCACAGCAGGTAGAAAGAAGTGTCACAGATGCAGTGGAAGCTGTGAGCATTCCCAGTGCAGACACATTAATAGCCAAGCACATTAACACAAGAGTGAATTCACTTTTGTTTCCTAGGTCCCACCAGATTCCAGCTGCAGCTGAAACAGAGGATTGCAGTGATGTCACTACTGCTGGAGAGATCTGGAGTATATTTTACCAACCATCCACATCAATATCCATCTTCAAGAAAAAGCTTCGAAATCAACAAGATGATTGCAACCCACTGGTGGGAAACTGAGCTTTTATTTTGCAAGGATTGATCTCCTTAAAATCCAGGTGACTTGAGATTAATCTTCCTTTTTTTCCTCCCAATCTCATACCTGTTTTCCAAAAAGTCCATTTCCAAAGGCCTTTGAGTGACTTTGCCTATCTGCTGTTCTCTTGGATATAGCAGTGACAACGGATTTAATTGGAGCAATAATTTTGAAATACCTGGTGCTCCTCAAGTCTGCAGTGCTGTTAATTACTGCCTTTAAACCATTGCACTTAAAATAGATGTAAAAACTCGTAAAATTCAAAACGTCCTGTACCCCTGCCCAAGGTAACTGAAGGGGTATCTACAGCTTGAGGATTTCTTGTGTCCCCCTTGCCTGTAGCACTGTATTAAATCAGGCTACTTCAGTCCTTTTATTCTCAAGGCTGAAGACAGAGGTGGGTACTGATAACCTGTTCAGCACACAGAGCTTATTTGCCTTGATGTAAACACATCTCACTGGTACTACACAGTAGAATGGGAATCAAAGACTGGAAAATGATCAGCCTGGTTGCTCAGTGCTGTGCTCTTTCTGCATGTTCTGTTTTTACAAGCAGAGATGCAAACAAAAAAAACAAATTCAGGATGCCTCTATAACAAGATTCAGCTACAAACATGCATTTTGATTCACTAGAGCTCACCAGGTCAAGGCCTGCAGGAGCATTGAAGCCTTTTAAATGACTGTCTGACCCATCATTCACTGATGTTTTTGATAATTTTGTTCAAATTCACAGTGATCCTTTAAAAAACTATTGTACTCCAGCCTGAGAGCCAGCACTCATCCTGGGTATAAGCTTAGGGCTTCTTAAAGGATTGTCCAAAGACACTGTAATCCACTGAATTTTTATCAGTGAGGCTGACTAACCAATTTTTGCTCTGAAGTCACAGGTATTGATCTCAGCAGCCCAAACTATTTACAAAGTTGTAGGCTGCTATCACCAGCTCAGCAGGGCCAGGCTGTGCAGCTGAACGTGCACAAAACAGCTGCCTTGACACTCACCAGTGAGATGTGTCTCCTTGCCTGCAGCACTAAAAGTGAACTGAATTTTTAAGGTAATTGCTTTACTTGTCAAAGAACTAAAACATCAGTGGGGTTCTGATCTGTGAACTATTTTCTTTGATTGCAAAGACAGCATTAACTATTTCTCCTCTTTGGTAGACTGACTGTCCATGCACAATAGTCAGATTTCTCATCCCACCACCACAAGTGGGAAACAAGTGATTCCAAGGGATCAGCAATGAGTCTTTCAGCCTCAGCCAGTTCAGACCAGCAAGATATTTAGGAAAAACTGTCAATGCAAATGTCAGATAAATGGACAGGAAAGGTTTGCAATGGGCAGGTCCTTAAACTCAGTTAGAGAAGGTTCACTGAGAACCATTAAACTACAATAATTCTGGTTCAGTTTGAATATAGAACAATGATCTGCATATGCCAGATGTGCAGTTAGAGAACATCTATTAAGTGCATCTACAAAAGGTACTTAAGAAAACTGAGTTTAAATTCATTCTAGTAACTGCCCTTGCATTTTTTAACATGTAACTCCCTCCTTTTTGTGAGAACTACAGATTTCACTGAAAAAACCAGGGCATCAAAGAATTAAGCAGTGAAATCTTGTGCCTTACCACTGTAGATCTGGTCTTTTACCTGAACTGAATTCAATCCAGCTTGATTTATGTACCACAGATGAGTGCTAGAAACAGCTGAACAATATCACAGTGCATGCTTAAAAGAAAACAGACTTTACTAAGCCAGCAATTATGGAATTGTTTATATAAAAAATGGAATAGCATGGGAACATCTAGTACTTTCTTGCATGAGCTGCTGGAAAGAATACAGGAAAATATAATTACAGTATTAGCTAAAATGAAGACACGAAGCTTGTAAAAAATGTGCTGGTTCTCTCTTACATGTCACCATGATGGACCAAAAAGCATTGTCTGTTTCAGACCCAAGTTCTGAAATTGCCTTTTTTAAAAGTAAGGTTTTGCATTGTGCTGTGTGGAGAAAGAGTTCACCTCAGAGATTCAGAGCAAAACAAAGTAGGTTGGTTCCTAAGAATCCTGAATTTGGTGCACTAACAGGCCACCAGGCAGAGAGAATCACAGTGTGCTGCCAGATCCTCAGGAGCTGTTACAAGCACAAAGTGCTTATCACAAAGTGATGAAGCTTTGCTTGCCTTATCAAATGCAAGTTAAACATTTTGTCAGAGACATTTATAAAGCAGTTACCTAATGGTGATAAACTGAAAAAACATCAGGAACACCTGGTGACTAATTTACACCTACCACAGAAAGGAAAAATACAGAATGTTACACTTCTCTTCATTAGTGAAGATTTTAATTTCACTATAATATTAGAGAAAATATCATAACAAACAGCAACAAAGACTGATGCTACTAATGCAAAATCCAGAGAATTCAAGAAGTGAGATTTTTGCATTGCTCCCTTAGCTCCTCAAATACTTTTTTTTAATAAAATTGTATCTCATGGGACTTTTATGGGGAGCATTAATCAAATTTATGTACAAAAGTCCCACAGAACCAGCACTTACAGCAGATTAACTGGTCATGGCAACAATAAACAGGACTAGTATTAGACAGTGCATGGGTAATACAGTGATGAAAGCATAGAAGAAATTACATTCCCCCCCACACAGAATTTTTCAGATTGGCTGATTCCAGATCCTGCTAGTGCTAGCAAACAGAGCAATGGATGGAAATTCATGGACAGGGTCCCTTAAATAGCACTTATTACTTTCCAGGGCTGAGACCATGAAGAGAGGTAGATCTGCAGTGTGGATTTTTTTCAGAATGTGGTAGGGTCACTCACACTGCTGGTGCAGACACTTCAGGCTGTGGTGATTTATGGCCAAGAGATGTGGTACCCACGAACACAGCATGTTTTGATCTTTGCTGTAAGGGTTTGGGGGAGAAAGAAGCAAAAACTGTGACCATGCACAAGTGCTGTAATCCCACAAAAGAAATGGCCCTGCTACACAGGCAGCTGAGAGCTGGCAGCTGGAGAGCAGGGACACCTCAGGACGGTGGTGTCTACACCACTTTCTCCAACAAACTGAAAATAATTGCAGAAGAAGAATTTGTTTGGAATTGTATCTGAACAGCCTTCTGAGCTCCTGCCTGGCAGCCCCCTCAAGAGGCCGGACAGGCTGCAATGGCTACAATGTCAAAAGCAACTCTTTTGGCAACCAAATCCTGATGAGGAGCTGCCTCCTCCTTCACATGCATTTCAGCTCCTGCTCTGGCCCACTGCTCACTCTTGTCTTGGTGTGACCAGCTGTGCAGTGGTGCAATAAACTGATCAGGTCAAAAACTGCCATGGCTTTTTCTTCCCTGAGTTATTTTTCACAGAGCTGAGCTCTCTGACCTTGCTCACTGGGTGGCTGCGCAGGGAGCTGAGAGCTCCCTGAGTGCACACTAAGCAGGCAGTAAGCCAGGGACAAGGCCAGATGTCTGCCCCAGGAGCTGAGCACTGCTGCTGGAGCTGCCACAGCCCTGTGTGAGCCTGCTGCCTTCGCTCTGCCCCCAGCTCCAGCAGCCTGCACTGTGCGTGCACCTCAGGTGGAAAGGGGCCAGCTGGACAAGTGCCTTCCCTCATTCAGAATCTACATTTAAAACTAGTTTAGTTTGTTGACTATGTGATTTTATATGTATTTTTATCTTAATATTATGTTGTGGGAAAATAGAGACTTTGTTATGTAAAAATGTGTGATGTGTTATCATAGTAATATATATATTTGTATATGTATAGGAAATGCATTATTTAATACAGCATATTATGCTTCTATCTTGCTAACATTTTATAGGAAGAAAAGATGTTAGTTTACACTCTGGGAAAAATAAATTTTCTATACACTGTAACCATAGGGAAAAAAATCAAAGATACTTCTTTGGTATATACAATAGAAAGACATTGAGGATAGGGGAACGCAGCCTCAGTTTTGTGACAGAATAGATGCTGATAAAACAATTGCTGTAAGAAACACTTTCCTCCTTTGAATCTCATTTCTAGCCTGTAAATGTATTAGGCTTTTCATAAGATTCTGCAAATTCATGTGCATATACTCTCTGGATGATTTTTACCATCAAACATGTAATCTGCTTTTTCAATCAAGCATTAACATAATCTTCTTTAGGACTTGTTTCTGCCAGATTTTCTACAGCCAGGACAATGCTGAGGAAGTTTATCACATTGCTCATACAGCCAATCCAGTGGGATTGCAGAATTCAAGTCTGTGTATTCCAACCCCCCCAGCAATAATATAAATAGGAGATTTGTATGGATAGTCCTGGAAACTGCACTGGATCTGCAGCCTGGATGGCTACAGGTCAAACACATCAGCAGACACATGGCTGCCACTGAATGAGCATAAGCAGCTATTCCACTTTCATCTTCTGCTTAATAAGCCTTCTCAGGCAGTGGGAAGGAACAGAGTTTTCTAGTGCAGCACTTTGCCTAAAGGAAGGGTGAACTACAAAAACAACTCCTGACAAAAACTTGTCCGACTGGTTCTTACTGCCTTGCAGCAGTATTTCACAATCTTCCAATGAAATACAGTTCACTGACAGTTTCACCTGAATATTGGACATTTATGAACAGTTCTGCTACCTTGAGAGTGAAACATACAATTGCCTTCAGACCATATAAATTTTTTTTAACAACACATCCCCACCAGACACATTTCACGCCACTCAGACTTTCCCAGATTTACTGAGCACCTGTGCTTTGGGATGAGATTTGGCATTGTGAACTTCAGTCCAAAGACATTTTGCTACAAATCCAAAAGCTATCACAGGAACCACATAAGGCTGTCAAGAAACCAGAATAAATCAAACTTGAGATGACTCGCTGCTGAAGTATGCACTGTGTTTATAACTGTTCACCCTGCATTCAGCAAATGGTTGTAAATAATAATTAGGAAAAAATAAATACAGTGTATTTGTGCAACAGGAGTTCAGTTAGGACGACTAAAGTGTATACAAGCATGAAATAAAGGAGGCAGAAATTGCTGCAGTTCATCAGCAGATTACAAGAGCACTGCCTGCTGTACATGTTAGAAGATAGCAATTAGAGCTGAGAATGATTACTTTACATATAAAGTATGATACTGCTCTGAGACAATTTCTGAGGTACCAGCAAATTGAAAGTTTTCAGTTTATGTGTTTTCAAACTTTTAAAAACTGTATAAATTTGTTCAGGATTTGCTTTGTAATTGCAGCACTGTAATGCTGTTTCAATTTTGTTGCAAAATTCATCTTTTCACTAATTAATTCCTCCTGGCCAAAATAATGCTACATTTTAAGAAACCTTCAGCAACCTTTTATGTAAACACCACAAAACCAATGACAAATACCAAAACTGTCTCCAGCTTTTCATGAAGACTCATTTTTCTTTTAGAAACACAGTTGTCACAGGGGAGGTTGCTCTCCTTTCCTGCCACTCTGGTTTTCTGGTTATGGGACTCTGGTTCTTTCTGGGAATTGTTCCCTTCTTTTTTCTTGCTTCTTTCCTAAGCAGCAGTTTCATTCCCCACGAGGGAAATGAGTTCTTTATTCTGAAAGAGACACTTTTAGATGAAGCATTTAAGTCACAGGAGCACAGTGCTTTCACTGCAAGATAAAATATCTGGTTTCAGGTATGCCATTGTCTCCCTGGCCAGAGAATTAGGCCAGGCTGGCTCCACAGGGTATGAACATGGCCATCCTTTTAAGGGCATTTTTCTCTTCACACTACCCAAGTAACAACAAACGTCACCTAACAGCTGTCACAGGATTTGACAGATGCACACGATATTGCAGATAGTGTTACAGAAACACCAAGTGTTACAATAATGTACAATCCACTATGAATAATCTGCTCCTGCTTGTCTTTTTCTACTGTATCAAGGTTCTGTGAGGGTTTGTGGTGCCCCACAGGACTCTGATTTTGTCACAAATTTGTTCCTTAAGCATCAAATCTGGAAAGTAAAAAGAACCTCCCCGCCTTGACAAGTATCCAAATGTTCATTTTGCACAGAAAATATTTACATTTAGTCATTTTTAAAAAGCCACAACAAAGACTAGACAGAGTATCACACAGAGCCAAGCACCACACACAAGCTCAGCCAGCAGCCCACTGCTGTGTTTCATGCAGACAGAACACAGGCTCTCTGATTGTTCAGTGGGACACTGTCACAGCACATGTCACAGCTGGGACAGCCACAAGACAGTGTCACCATACAGTTTCAGAAGGCTTTAAGCATTTGCCCATACAGAGTAACACCATACCTGATCAGAAGGCTTCAGGCATCTGCCCATACACAGTAACACCAGGTCATTTCAGAAGGCTGCAAATTTCTGTCCTTGTTCTTTAGCCCAACCTTTTATATCCCTCACGTTCTTCAGAAGGCTGCAAATTTCTGTCCTTCTTGTTCTTTAGCCCAACCTTTTATATCCCTCACGTTCATGCATTACACCTGTGTGCCCTCTGCTCCCTTTGGTGGCTGGTCAGTGCCCCTGGGCACTCCATGGCTCATTGCTGTCACTGCTGCTCACAGCTGTGCCCACTGGGGATGGGGCTCAGCCACAGCCCCACTCCCCATCACCACAAACTGGGTGCTACAGGACACTGAGGGTGCTGGCATGTCCTGTTCTTAAAAGCACAATCACCTGGCAGCTTTCTTCAGAACAGGGAACAAGAAAACAGAACACCAGCAGCAACAGCAAGGTGGAGGGAGGGAGGAGAAGGGAGATTCAGATGTGACCTGTCAACATTTGAGTTACCAGCCACCCACACACAGGGGCTTTATGCTATTTGTAAAGAAAAGTGTTTTGTGAACTAATTTGCATATAAAAGGCATATCTGTAACCACTGGCAATTGCCAAGACTCTGCTCACTGAGCAAAAAAAGGGGCACATAATTTAATTGGGAAGCACCTGCTCCTGTTGCTCTTCCATGGTTGTGCCTGTCCCCACACAGAGCAGGCTTTTCCATCCTACCTGTCAGGATGGGAACTGTCCTCATGCCCTACAAAATAATCCCAAATGGAGTTATCACACATGAAACAAGGAGGGTTGGAGAGAAGTAAGGCTCATTTCTTGCTGAATCCTGAATTACAGTGCACTTGAACATGGATGAGAAATGGGGAAAGTCCAGGGGATTACCGGGTGAAAATCTTTGTGAGCAGGAAGAAGCTGGAGAATCCTGGAAAAGGCTCTGTGAGTGGATCACTGGATGGGAAATGAATACCACATGAAGGTGAACTGTTTACACAGTAACACACATAAATACACAGGTACACACACACACAGAGCCACACAGCCCCAGGCTCCCCTCTTCTGGAGTCCGCGTAAACGTCTCTGATGAAATTGTGCTCTCTGCTGACAAAAGGAGCAACAAAATATTGATTTTTCACTAAAGCAGGACCAGTGATTCCATGATCCAGGGCAAGGACCTGGATCTAGACCATTCAAGCTATGATTTACCCAGCTGTGTCCACCTGTATCATGCTCTCTCAAAACAATTTTCTTTCAGGGCAATAAATTACTTTTACCTGAAATTACAACCGAGTTCAGCTCCCCTGCCACGAGGAACAGGCAGGTTCCAAACATAAATGAGGATTTCTTTTAGCAGATGTGGTACTTCCATGTGCCTGGGGGGCTCAGGGGCTTGTGTGACACCTACCCCCCACTGCCCCCCAGTAACTGGAGTGCTGTGTAAAGGCGTTTCCATATCCACCTATCTGTTGTTTTTAAAAAAAAAAAAAAAAAAAAAAAAAAGGAAAAAATGTTGTTTATTAGAGTTCATCTCAGTATATCTAGGACTATACTTTGAGGAGAACAGTTATCTATGTCCTTTCCCCCAAAACAAGAAGGACAACTCCCACATGTATATGCAATAAAACTGTATTTTTTGTGTGGTTTTGCCTTTTTTTTTTCTTTTAATACAGACATTTGTACACTTTCTTACAAAACTGCAAGTAACTACACTTCTCTTAAATCATTTTTGGTCGGCAAGTACTGTAAAATCTTTGTGTGCAATTATCATGTATTTACAGGGCCTCGTGTTAGTGATTTTCAGTGATTATTACAATAATGTCACACACTCTCAACATAAGACATGGCTTAAGATAAATATATTAGTAAATAAATATTCTGAGAACATATTTCCATACATGAAATGTGCTGCTATACATATACAGAATATATACAAGATGCTTTCTAGCTTTTAAAACATTTTTAAAAATGGTAATGAAGGAGAAAGAGCCCTTTGACCATATTACAAATCTTTACAGCAAATTTTATACAAAACAATTTTAAGTGCTATAAGACAATTTTAATTAAAAACATTTTAAATAGTGCCTTATGAGCCAAACAGAACGACAACTGTTCATGTAAGTAGTAGAAAGGCATTTTTTTATAAAAACCATCTATCATGGCCAGCTAGCCTGTAAGTCTGCACTGGACGTAGAGTTTTATGTTAAATGTCAGACCCAGCACAGAAGGCAGGTGTAGGGTGTCTGTGCTATGGCCTGCAGAGACTTGCACCAGCAGAGATTTCCACAATGTGTGGGACCAGTACATCTGGGATCACCAGGAGCCAGAATATTCAAACCTTTTTAAGAACCACTTTTACCAGAATATGCTGTTTTAGTTACAGAGTACAATGTATCTTAGGCGGCCTTTACAGTGCCTCACAAAACACCAAGCAGAATAACCAAGCTAGTATGCCATAGCTTCTACAATGCATTTCTTTTTTAGTGGAGGAAGGAGAGGGTAAGACTTTAAAATTTCAAAAAAAATCCAAAAATCACAAATCTTTAGAGTTTGTTCTCCCAATACATACCACTTACTTCAGTCATTCAGAGAATGAATAAGTTTTTAATAAGCTTTATACACAGAAAATGTGTTTATTGACATTTTTCTTTTAATCTTATACCCAGATATTGCCTTGTATTAATTCTCTGAACAGCTGAATTTTGGTGCTTGTTGACTGAAAAGATGT